CCTCCCTCCCAGAGACCCGTGAATCGCGTAATGCCCTTTTATAAATTCCTTTCCTGCTCAGATTACGTAGAGTGTTGTTTGCAGCTAAAAACCTAACCACCTTTAGGGGCACCTGAGCAGCTCGGTCAGTTGAGCATCTGACTCTTGGTTTTGGCTGAGGCCATGATCCCATGGTTTGTGAGATCGAGCCCCGCGTCCAGCTCTGTGCCGACAGCACAGAGGCTACTCAGGATTCTCTCTCTCTCTCTCTCTCTCTCTCTCTCTCTCTCTCTCTCTTCCCCTCCCCACTTCTCTCTTTCTCTCTCACCTCTGAAAATAAAAATAATCATTAAAGAAAAGCAACAACAACCTAACACCCTTTAAATTCACAGAACCCTTGAGTCTCCGTTCCGCACGCCGCACTAGGAGCAGAAGAGTACCCACCTCGTGAACAGTTGGGGGGAGTCAGGGAAAGGGGGACCCGGAACCGACCGCAGCACCACAGACGCTGGGGCAGTTTCACTCCATGGGTCACGGCACTCATTTGGGAAGCAGGTGATCCAGGTGGCTCTGGCCCTGACCTGGTATGTGGCGTGGGCAAGTCACGTTCCCCCTCCTGCCCGTGGGGTTATCACGAAGACCGAAAGGTTACAGCATGGAAAGCCCTCAGCTCAGAGCGCGGCGTGGGGAAGGAGCCCACCCGGGTGTCGCTGGAAGGCACATGGGTGACCTTTGCATCCTGGATTAGAGAAAGTAAATAATAATGTAGGTGGTGTCCTGATGTGCCCTGGTATGAAAGCTGAAGCTTGGAAAACACTTAGATGTTCGAGACACAACTCCATTAACGCTACTCCACTGTAAATTTAAAAATGGTTAAAAGGGCAGTTCAGCGTCTGACTCTGGATTTCAGCTCAGGTCATGATCTCACAAACCGTGCGATCAGGCCCCGCGCTGGGCTCTGCGATGACATCGCTGACGGAGCCTGCTTGGGATTCTCTGTCTCCCTCTCTCTGCCCCTCTCCCACTCGTACAGTAGCACATGCTCTGTCCAAAATAAACATTTTTTAATGGTTAAAAGGGCAAATTCTGTTGTATTTATTTTACAACATTTTTTTCCTTTTTTTTTTTTAATGTTTTATTTATTTCTAGGAGAGAGAGAGAGGGAGACAGCGTGAGCAGGGGAGGGTCAGAGAGAGAGGGAGTCACAGACTGAAACAGGCTACAGGCTCTGAGCTGGCAGTCAGCACAGAGCCCGACACGGGGCACAAACCCACGAACCACGAGATCATGACCTAAGCGAAAGTCGGACGCTTAACCGACTAAGCCACCCAGGCGCCCCTATTTTACAACTTTTTAAAAAATTAATAAGGTAATATACCAAAAAAACATTGAATTACACACTTCCAGTGGGTAGATTGTATGGTATGTGAATTATAGTTCAATAAAGCTGCTAAACGGCCCAGCTGGCTTCCCATCCCTTTTGGAGCACAGCACAAACCCCAACTTCTCTCCCTCTCTGCGCTCATCGGCCCCACCCCCACCCAGAAGCCCTCCATTCTGGCTCGTTGACCTGCCTTCTCTTCCTACAAGAGGCCAGGCCCCTGCCCCAGGCCTTTTACCTTTGTTCTTCCTTCTACCCGGGGTGTTAGCGGCTCTCTGATCTCCTGCCCATTAGGATCACCGAGCAGCTTTCCGTGAGGACCCCCAAGCCGCCCCCCCCCCCGACAGTGGGGTGTCATTAGTTCAGGACAGCAGGTAGCGTCTCTCCATTTTAACGGTTTACTTTAAACCTTCCCGGGTGCTTTTTTTTTTTTTTTTATATTTTTTATTTATTTCTTGGATAGAGAGAGAGACAGCGTGAGCAGGGGAGGGTCAGAGAGAGAGGGAGATACAGACTCTGAAATTGGCTCCAGACTCTGAGCTGCCTGTCAGCACTGAGCCCGACGCGGGGCTCGAACCCACGAACCGCGAGATCATGACCTAAGCGAAAGTCCGACGCTTGACCGACTAAGCCACCCAGGCGCCCCCTTCCCGGGTGCTTCTATTGATCCGCCAGCATTAACGATCGCTGCCCTAGTCGTCACGGCTCGGTCCCCCCTCCTTCGGGTTTCTGCTCCCTGGCCAGCTCGGTGGAGGGGCCCTTCCCAATCACACCATCTACCTCCCTTTATTCACCTTCAACACGGCCCCGCCTAGGACTGCATCGTGGGCGTATTTGCCTGCTTCCCGTGGAGAGTGTCAGGTGGATGAGGATAGAGGCTGCACCTGTTTTGTTCAGTGCTGCGTCCTCAGTGCTTAGTTTATACAGTGCCCGGGAAGCAGCTGTCCCCTGATGAACCGCTGTGGCCCAACTTTCTCTGTCCCGGGTTGGTCCAGCGCCTGCTCTGCGGGCTGCAGTTCTAGGCGGCGGCCACCAGGGGGCGAGAGTGCCCAATCACACTACAGGCGGCTGCGGCTGTCCCGCCCCGCGCCAGGCCCACGGCGGACCCCACTGTGCCCCTCCCTCTTCTCGTTTGTAGATTCACAGTCACCGGGCATCTGCAAACACTCTACTGGGACTCAAGTCGGAGAGGAAGGCCCTGCAGCGGTGTCCGGAATCTCCAAGTCCTCCTCTGGCCACTCGCAGACCCTCTGATGTGGGCTTGGGGGGCTCCCACGGCCCCCTGGCCACTGTTTGGGAACTGAGGACCCATACACTGGGGGCTGTGACACGCAAGGTCTTCTTCCATCACAGGGCACATGCCCACGGGGGAACGAAGGAGCCCCGGACCTGAGCCACAGGGATCAAAGCCCCGGGCGAAACGGAGGCTGGAAAGAAACACCACAGCGGGTGGTGTGTCAGGTGCTGCCGCACTTAGATTCCAAGAGGAGGGACCCCTGCCTACCTGCAGGGTCTGGAGATACAGACGGAGGGATGCAGAGGGGGACCCCCGGTGGCTTTTCAAATTTGAGGCATGGACTGGTCAAATAGTAAACGCCAGCATTTTTTAAAAAGCACCAATTTCTCTACCACTGAGTAAGTCCCACGGTCCTCGGTGTCTCCCTTCCCTGGGAGGCTGCAGCTGTGACTGCTGGGGACAGGGTCCCGGTGTGAGGTGCCCCTGCTCAAATGTGGCCCCACCTTTGGATGCCCGGTGTCCTTGCAAGCTCTGGGGACAGAGCAGTGAGCCGATCACCCGTCCCCTCACGCAGCTCACATGTGAGTGGGACGCACAAGAGAAAGTCATAAATATGTATGAACTTTGCTCAAGGACATGAAAACCAGGAAGAGGCAGAGACAGAGGATAAGGGGGGAGGGGAGTGGCTGCTTCCGAGGTGACACCTGAAAGACAACCTGAGTAAGACGCCAGCCAGAGGGTGTGCCAGGCCAAGGGCACAGCAAGTGCAAGGGCCCTGGGGCCGAGACTGGAGGCGGCTTGCTGGAGTTACAAACGGGGCAGCAGTGAGGCTCACAGCCTCTTCCCCTAAAGTGGGCTGAGTACCCCGCCCCCTGTGGGCTTCAAATGAGAAGGGAAGGTGCCCACATGTGCCCAAGGAAAGGAAACTGAACAATTAACTCAAAAAACGACAGCGCCCCATTTACTGGAAAGAGCACTTTAATAGGAGTCCAGTTAGAATCTTTCACCAGCTCCACGGCCTTGAGCTAACTTTTTTTTAATGTTCTACTTATTTCTGAGAGAGAGAGAGAGTGAGCAGAGGAGGGGCAGAGAGAGAGTGAGACACAGAATCCGAAGCAGGCTCCAGGCTCTGAGTTAGCTGTCAGCACAGAGCCTGATGCGGAGCTCGAACCCAAGAACCGTGAGATCATGACCTGAGCCGAAGTCGGACGCTTAACGGACTGAGTCACCCAGGCGCCCTTACCTTTTTTTTTTTTAACATTTGTTTATTCATTTAGAGAAAGAGGACACGCAAGGGAGGGGCGGAGAAAGGAGAGGGAGAGAGTCCCAAGCAGGCTCCCCACTGTCAGTGCAGAGCCTGATACGGGGCTCGAACTCACCAACCGTGAGACCACGACTTCAGGTGATTTCACCTGAGGTGAAATCGAGTCGACGCCTAACCAACTGAGCCACACAGGGGACCCCGAGCTAGCTACTTCCTTGGGCCTATTTCTAGACAAACCCACGGCTGGTCACATTAGGACAGGGACACCCAGCACGTGAATGCCATGCACCACGGACGCTGGGACACCTGGTGCCCTCTCCACCTGAGCCACACCACCTTGCTGCTCATCAAGCACGTGAAGCTCCCACTGCGTACCCCAGGGCCTTAGTACCTGCTGGTCCCACGTCTGGGATGTTCACTCGCTTCATGTTCCTACAGCCGCCTCTTCATTCAGACCTCGGGTCATAGGACCCCCTAAGAGAGTCCCAGTGAGTAGCCACCCTCACCCCGCCTTGGTCCTACTGTAGGAACACACCCCATTGTGTTCCTTCCACAGCCGTGGTCAGCAAGTGGCCTGTGGGCTGACTCCAGCTCCTCATTCCCTGCTTTGGTGCAGCCCATGGGCGGAGAAGGGGGGTTACATTTTTAAATGGTGGAACAAGAAACATCTTGTGACCCATGACAGCTAAGTGACCACGGTGCACCTGAGCAGGGCGGAGGTGACACGCTGCCCAGGCAGCGCCCCTAAGCGCAGGCCGGCCACCCTGGCCACGGAAGGACCGCTCCCTCCCCTCTCGCGGTCTTGCTGAGACTGGTTGGGATCCCCTCCTGTTTCACATCTCCGTGGAGCTGGGCTTCCGGGAGAGCACCCACTGGGGGCCCCGAGTGCCCACCGCCTATGGGGACGTCCCTGCCCTCTCATGGCCCCGTCTCCTGTGCCAGGTCGTGCGACTTGGACACGGCCATCCCGACCGAATGGAAAACTGCGAAGCTGAGGACGACCAAGCCGTTTTTCCAAAGCAGTTTAATTAAAAAAAGGTGAAGAATCTGAAAAAAATCGGTTGGGGGAGGGGAGGGCGCGGAACCCAAAAAAGCAAACCGAGGGCATCCACTGGCTCAGGCACAAAGAAACACCGTCATCGAAAAAGATATTTAAGTTTAATACAAATTTTATACAAAGAAAATGTGAAAAAATACTTCCATATGCTAAAAGCAATTAGGCTTCACAAATAAGGCCAGCTAGGCTATTTTTTTTTTGACACCTGCAATTCACAAATGTTCTGTTTCTTCTATACTCTTTTTTTAGTTCTCTAATATGGGGAACTAGCTGGAAACTGTACAGTTCACATCCTCTTATCAACAATGAAGAGAAAGTAAATGGGACTAAAATATACAACAGAATGTGCTGGAATGATATCGTACAATTAATTTTCTCATATACATACATGACCTTTTGCTTTGTTCGATGCGTTTTGTTCGATACGACAGACAAAATGGTGCCGCCGCGGACGTAGTGTGGCAGGGGGCGCGGCCGGCGTTCTCTCCCACCGCCTCGGCACATGCTTTTACAGAACAACGTGAAATCCCATCGTATAAATAATACATACATGCTTCGTCCCTCCCAGGTCCTCTGCGTGCCGCGCGCCTCAGAAGCACAGCGTCTCTTAGCGGCGTGTGAGTGTGCGGGGGAAAAGGAACCGCAAAGCAAAGCAAAGATTTCTCTTTGTTCCAGAGCCCGGGATGCCCACCGCTTTCTCTGTTCCCTCCCGTGGCCGGGCCTGGGCCTTCCCTTTTCAAGTAGTCATCGCCGCAATCACACAAAGTAAACTTGCTTCTCTGCATCCAGAGAGCTTGGCCTTTTACGACACGGGGCCATCGTGCTGGAAAGGGGCCGATGGCTTGACGTGATGTGCCCACGGCGGCACAGGGTCGGTGCCCGAAACTGTGGATGTCCGAGGCGCTGCGTACAGACGAATGGATGAAAGCAGCTCACTTTCCACCCCCGGCGCGTTTGAGGTCGAGGGCCTGTGCGTCACGGCGACCCCAGGGCCTGGTCTCTGCGCCGCGGGGACAGACGGGCTGACGAACCATCCCTCCCCCTCCTCCTCCATCAAAACATTCTTTTTTGTTGTTGGGCATTTTCTTTTTTCTGATTCTTTTTTTTTTTTTTTTTTTATAAGTTAAAGTCAATACAAATATAAAAAGGGGAAGGTATTCTGGGTTCAGTGACACCCACAAATTGTACATTATTTACATCTAAAGCATAGGTTTCGTGTGGGTCAAACAGTCCTCAGTCCGCCCTAAGGCCAGACGCTGTGTAGTGTGGGCCGCCCTCCACGCAGGGCCAAGGCCAAGTCCGGGTGTCCGGAACGCCCGAGTCCGCAGGGGGCTCTGCCGTCTCAGGGTTCCTGGCCGTTTCCGGTCGCCCTGGCGTCTGGTTTTTTCTTCCTCCACGGGGTGGGTAGCTTGTGTCGTGACTTGTCCCTAGTCCCAGAAGGTGTCCAGCCGAGACTCTTTCGGGAGGAGACTCTTCGAACCGGCGCCAGCGTTGTGCTCGACGCGAGCGGGTCCTCGCTTCTCGTCGCTGCTGCCCCAGCAACTAGATTTGCTGCCCCGGGAATGGTCTGTGGAGGAGAAGAACAAGAAGGGACGTTGAGCCTTCAAGCCACCTCCGCCGGGGCGGAGCCCTCTCCACACCCAGCCCCTGTGCTCTGCGCTACCCTCCGGCCGCCTCCCTGCACGCATGGGTCACTGGAGCCCAAAGGGGACACCTTATTTCAGGGCCGCACGGCCAGTTAGACAAACACGAGAGTGTCACGTCGCAGAGATCGCGATGGTGAGGAAGATGCTTCTCACGCGGCACCTGGAGCCGCGATCACGACAGGATACCGAGCACTATGGGTGCCTCTGTGTCCCAGTCGGGCCACTGGAGAAGGGCACCAAAATGCAGCAATCAATTTCCTCCCTCATATTAGTGGAGTTTCTTCAGTTACTTTATAAACAACTCGAGAAACAGACCTATAACCAAACCACACAGAGAGAGGATCACAGAGGAGGAGGGAGAGTCTAGAATGGTTACTGAGCGGGACACGCACACCCACAGACTCCCAGCAGGGACAGGCTGCAGGGTGCCCGGAGGGTACAGAACCGGAGTTAAGCCCCAGGACAGCTCTGAGGACGCGGGACCACAAGAAGCTAAACAGCTGAGGCTGAGGGAGATCCGAGGCAGGTGAAGGAAGAGACAGAGGACAGTCCGTAAGCAGCGACACAGCTCAGCTCAGACCCCCACGGGTGATGCAAGGGACCCGACAGCACGCGGACGAACACATCCCCCCCAACACCTGGTCATCTGCTAAGTTCAGAGGCTGGGATGAAATTTTGTTTTCAAATTTCTGGAGGTGAGATGGTGGTATTGAAAGAAGCCAACGGTCAAGTTCAGAGACAAGAATGAGAGTGAGAAAGGGACCAGATCAGAGCCGGGGATGACATTTCTCCCCAGCCGGTAGAAAGGAACGTGTGCATTTAGTCATGCATTCTAGGAAGAGGAGCAGCAAAGAGAAAGATAAAAATCTCCAAAGTGATGTGTTCACTCAGGACAGACTTTCTTTTTTGACCATGTGCAGCGGTGACCAAAAGGGGGCAGTATTCCGGTAGACAGTCCTGAATCCACCTCCTCTTCCCGGTGCTTCCCTATTCGTGAAGCCTACACGGGGCGGTTCTTCTGGAAGGTCTCTGGGAAGTGGTGCGCTCAGTCATCATCCGACAGGACAAAATCCCACAACAACGCAGTCAGGCGAAGGCAGACACCGGGGCTGGGCTCAGGACAGACCTGCCCCGTGGAGCCGGGGCGGCCACTGCGTCCGCAGGACATAGGTCCCCCGGCGGACAGGACCCAGGCTACTGTGACCAATCACTGCGGGGGAGAATCCAGACCTTTACGGAAAAGGGCAAGGATGATCCCCTCCAGAAACCAAACCGCACACTCTGGCTCCCGTCTCCTACTATGGTTTTCAACGGCGACGAGAGGCAGAAGTGAGAGGTGCAGGAGGCAGAACAAGACACATCACTCACAACAGCAGCAGAAAACAAGACGAAGACACACACGCACGCACACACACCAGGAGCCTTCTGCAGGCGCCAGCAGCGTCATGCTTCCCCCTCTGGACTGGGTACTGGGGGCGCAGGCGGGCCGCCTCCCGCACCTGCCGTGTGCCGTAGCGATGGCCCGGGCAGCCTCGGTGGCTGTGGGGAGCTCGGATCGCCACAACCCAGGCACCTGCTACTTGTGCTCCTCAACCGGCCCCATCAGCCCCGTACTCTGTCGCACCCCTCCCCCCGCAATGCGCTTACACAGACTTGGGATAACAGGGTAACTAGCCCACGAACAGGGGTCACTGGATGCAGCCTGGCTTTGCAGGGGGGAAGTGAGGAGCCCAGCGGCCGAAGAGCCACCCTGTAAGCCAGGTTCTCAAGCACGTTGGAAGCACAATTCTCAGAACCACCAGCTCTGCCAACAGCCTCACGCGACCACTGAAAACCCACTAAGGCAGAAAGCGTCAACCAAGGAATCTGGATTATTCTGGGGGAAGAATCCCTCCCCTACTGCCAAGGCTGCCGGAGGACAAGGCCGGAAGGGAGGGCCAGGAAGGCGCCGTGGTGAGGACGGCAGAAGGGGCTTCAGACGAGGTCCTCAGCCGCGATGACGGAACCCAACAAAAACCTCTGGAACTGAACAGCCACAAGGGAGTGATACGAAAGGAGTTTCAGTAAAGGAAGGGGTCCAGTGAAGGGCTTGCTGGGGACACCATAGGAGGCAGGACAGAAGGAGGGAACAGAAACCCCAGGAGAGAGGACAGCCGGGCCGGAACCGTAATCGCGGCACTCCAGTTGCCCGGCAACAAACTGCACGCTCAGGACAGCGGGCACCAGACCAAGTTCTCAGGCTCAGACTCCGCGAGCGCAGGGCGGGTAAGGGTCAAAATGCACCTATTCTCAGCCTCGAGGAAGGGGAGGCACAGCAGAGCAGAGGGCGGTCTGTACATGGTCAGGGTGGGGGGTGCGAGGGTAGAGGGGGGCCGCCGGGAGAAGGGTAAAGGGTCTCTGTCCCTAGCTCTCAAATCCAGAACTATGGGGCACCTGGGTGGCTCAGTCGGTTAAGCGTCCGACTTTCGCTTAGGTCATGATCTCGTGGTTCATGGGTTTGAGCCCCGCGTCGGGCTCTGTGCTGACTGCCAGCTCAGAGCCTGGAGCCTGTTTCAGTCTGTGACTCCCTCTCTCTCTGGCCCTCCCCTGCTCACGTTGTCTCTCTCTCTCTCTCCTAGAAATAAATAAAACATTTTTTAAAAAAATCCAGAACTAAAGCAGGAATTATTGTCTTTGACCCACAGAACCCCAGAGCACATAGGCAGTGACCACTGTCACTGGGAGGAGGGGAGAAGAGAGGTCGCCAATGACCCCAATTCTCGTCTTCTGAAGCCAAAGGCCAGCAAGCAATGTCGAAAACGAACACCCAGAAATAGAAGCACAGGAAAATACGTTATTTGTAAGGAAGGAAGGAAGTACCAAAGACATCACTGGGGATGGGGCCTAGGAGCTGTCTTTCTCTGTACTATAACCATACATGTGTTACTTTAAAACCTTAACGGGCACCTGGGGGGCTCGGTTGGGTGTCCTACTTCGCCTCAGGTCATAATCTCACAGCTTGTAAGTTTGAGCCCTACGTCGGGCTCTGTGCTGACAGCTCAGAGCCTGGAGCCTGCTTCAGATTCTGTCTCCCTCTCTCTCTGTACCTCCCCAGCTCACACACTCTCTCTCAAAAAAAAAAAAAAAAAAAGAAAAAGAAAAAAAAAAAGAACACTTAAAAAAATTAAAATTTTGGGGCGCCTGGGTGGCTTAGTCGGTTAAGCGTCCGACTTTCGATTAGGTCATGATCTCGCGGTTCGTGGGTTCGAGCCCCGCGTCGGGCTCTGTGCTGACTGGCAGCTCAGAGCCTGGAGCCTCTTTCAGAGTCTGTGACTCCCTCTCTCTCTGACCCTCCCCTGTTCACGCTGTCTCTTTCTCCTAGAAATAAAACATTTAAAAAAAAAATTTTTTTTTTTTAAATTAAAATCTTAAAACAATTGTTTTACGTTTATTTGTTTTTGGGGGGGGCGCGCAGAAAGAGATGGAGAGAGAGAATCCCAAGCAGGCTCCGCATTGCCGGCACAGAGCCCGATGTGGGGCTCGAAAGCACGAACCACAGGATCATGACCTGAGCTGAAATCGAGTCAGATGCTTACCTGACTCAGTCACGCAGGCGCCCCTGAAATCTTAAAAGACAAGAAAATAGCAAGGAAGCACGTGCCCCCAGACTCCTCAGCACACCCCCCCACCCCCAGCGATGGTCTACACGGAGAATCCGGGTGTTTCCAAAGCCCACGTTCCTCTGCGCAGTTTCACCTACAAGGTCACTGACGGCGAGAGCAGGCTAAGTTAAACAAGACTCACGAGGAGTTCAAAAGGGACAGCAAACGAGTCGGCGTCTCTGCTCTGACACGACTCCCAGCTTGGGTGAGACACAGGAAAGGAGGCGGCAGAGGGTGCCTCCGGCTCCCTCCTGCTCACACCCCGGCGTGTCGCGGCAACACCGCCTGCAAAGTGCTCTTGCTCCGCCAGGTTCTGACAGCCCCCCCCCCCCAGCCGCTAACATGCCTCCCGTCCAGCCCCGTTCCGAACCCTAAATGCCGACGCCTCCAGAGTGTGGTCCTGGGCGCGCTTTTCTTTCGCCACAACACGCAGAGAAGGTCCCCTCGCCTGAGGAGACCCCAGGATTCTAACCTGGTCTTTTCGCGAGACAAGGTCTGAAAACACCATTTGAATTGAAAACGTGCATGGCTGCTCATGCCTCGGTGGTGAAAGGTCGAGAACCACGCTGTGAGCGGAGGAATGTGCAAGAAAAGCAGCCCGGAGGCCGATGGAAAGAGGCTTCCGGAGCCGTCCCCGGGGCCGGGGGAGGAGACGGGGCAGGCGGTGCCGTTCCGTGTGGCCGCCACCAGCCCCCGTGAGGCTGCTTAAACAGAGCGCCATAAAACGTTAAATCCTACAGTCAGCCACAGTTCGAGGGCCCGACAGGCATGCGTGTGGGTGGCGACCACGGGAACAGGGCAGATAGAGAACAGCGCCATCACTGCAGCCTGTTCGAGGGGACAGCTCCGCTCTCGGGGCAGATGCAGGGAGTCACGGTGGAGGCGCAGGAGGGGATTAAACGCCGTGGGGAGAACAGCTGAACCAGACATCTGGCTACGACAGAGGCTGGGGAGGGAAAGGCCGGTGCGGCCGTCGGAAGACGTGACGGAGGCCTGGGTGCTGGAAGGGGAGGCAAGGCCTGGCTGTGCTCCTCGGAGGGAAAGGACAATGCCACGTGCTGTCAGTGACCTTGGAGGGACGGGCTGGGAGGCCTGGAACAGAGCAGAGAACTTTGGAAGCTGCCCTTGTGCAGAGGGCAGGCAGAGGCAGAAAGGCACCAAATCCGGTAAGACCACCAACCGGACAGACGGAAACATCTGCTTCTGCGGTCAGCGGTCGCGCTCAGCGCGACTGGTGCAAGGAGGACGTCCTCCCCGGGAAGTCCTCCCCAGCTGAGCTCCGATGGCCGCCGCAGGGCAGTAAGACATGGAGCCTGGTGTCCGTACAGGTGCCGTTTTGCCGAACGGAAGTGGGGAGAAAACCAGAAGGCGTGGAGACTGAGTCACATTAGCGAGGGTGCTGCTGGGAGGAGCCAGGGAAACCAAGCCGGGGAAGGAGGGAGGTGAGGAAAGGAAAGAGTTAGTAGATCGGGGGGCGGGGGGACGCACATCTCCAGCCCTGACTCCTCCCAGACACCGGTGCCTAATCAGCTGAGCCACACTAGACAGACAACACGCCACCATTTTTTGGCTCACGATTTCATACAGGTCAACCTAAGTATTCCCAGCGCAGCGGGTAAGAGCGTGTCTGGGGTCAGAGAATTCTTTTTTTTTTTTTTTTTTTTTTTTTAAGTTTTTTTTTTTTTAATGTTTTATTTATTTTTGAGAGAGAGCGAGCGAGCGTGAGCAGGGGAGGGCCAGAGAGAGAGGGAGACACAGAACCCGAAGCAGGCTCCAGACTCTGAACTGTCAGCACAGAGCCCGACGCAGGGCTCAAACCCACGAACCGTGAGATCATGACCTGAGCTAAAGTTGGACGCTCAACTGACAGCCACCCAGGCACCCCCCCCCTTTTTTTTAATTAAAAAAATTTTTTCTTTTAAAATATTTATTTTTGAGAGAGAGAGAGAGAGAGTGTGTGTGTGTGTGTGTGTGTGTGTGTGTGTGCAGAGGAGGGAAGAGAGAGAGAGAGACAGAGACACAGAATCGGAAGCAGGCTCCAGGCTCTGAGCTAGCTGTCAGCACAGAGCCCGACACAGGGCTCGAACCCACAAACTGCGAGATCATGACCTTAGCCGAAGTCGGACGCTTTACCGACTGAGCCACCCAGGCACCCCACGGAGGGGGGGAGGTGTCAGAGAATTCTGGACTGAAGACCAGACTCCAGTAGTACGTCACTGAATTACTCGTGCCTGTGAGTTAACTTCTCTGGGTCTTAACGTCCTCATCTGCCTAATGGGAACAGTAACTTCTCTCACAGAAGCTGGAATAAACATGATAAAGTGTCCACAACCGCTTCACGCTCTTGGCCTGAACACCCATTACGTCCTCTTCTGACTTCCATGGAAAGCTCTAGAAGACAAGAGTTGTCTGCCCTGGTCACCACGAAGTCCCCAGCCCTGGCACAGGACCTGATCCCAGCGACACTCGACAAACTCTTACACCCACCACCCCCCCAACCCTCTGGGAAAAGCCTAGCACCATGCAACCGTCGAGAATCTAAAGTAGAATTCAGGATCTTGCCCTCCCTCCCTTCCCCGCTCTCGCCCCCTCTCTGCTCCCCACCCCCATCCTGTCCCCAAGACCCCTCCGACATTATTTCCTCGGCCCCCACCCAGTACGAAGTCACCAACGTCTTCTGGGGCTTCTGGCCTCTTCTCTCCAATGTGAACCCCCCCTGCTATGCCCACTTGAGACACCAGTGTGCTTCAGGTCAAGGGCCCCCAACCTCAGCCCAGGAGCCAAATCCAACCTGATGCCTGGTTTTTCTACCAGTGTTTCACTGCAGGACCGCCACACCGCGTGTTTGCAGAGCATCCACGCCTGCCTTCTTCCTACAACAGCGGGTGGGACAGCTGTGACCCAGGCCACGGGGCCCGCAAAGCTTAAAGTATTTACTATCTGACCCTTCGGTCTGCCAGGCCCTGAGCTAGGGAAACACTTCGTCACCTCAGAAGTGAAAGAGAACAGACCTCCCAGCCAGCTTCCGGAACGGAGCTGCCCCCGCTGAGGCAGATTCCATACTGCATGCCACCCTCCAGCACTCCCACGCCGTGCGGGCCCCACATCGCTGCCACGCCTCCACAGCGCTCCATGGTGGACACTGTGCTGCCTCAACCCCGGGCCTTGCTCACACAACCTTTGCAATTCTGGGCCGTCTGCAACCCTTCCACATCCTGCCTATTCCAGGTTTTTACTCTAAACTCATTTTTTTAAATGTTTATTTTCGAGAGAGAGAGAGAGACACAGACAGACAGTGCAAATGAGGGAGAGGCAGAGAGAGAGGGAGACACAGGATCCGAAGCAGGCTCTGAACTGCCAGCACAGAGCCCAACGCGGGGCTCGAACTCATGACACACAAGGTCATGACCTGAGCCAAAGTCAGGACACTCAACCGACTGAGCCACCCAGGAGCCCCTCTCTAAACTCATTTCAAACTTAAATGAAAACAGGAATTGTATCTTGCTACCTAGATCACTAGCAGAAAATCCATAATCCTCGCCACCGACAGAGGGCAGCTCTACAAATAAACATAACGAAAACCAAACTGTAGTATTAACGTCCAGGTAGCTACCAAGTCTGTTCTGTCTTTGTGAAAAGGAGAAACTAGAAAATATCAGAGACGCAGAAGGTATCTTAGCACTAAGCTGAACTGTTCTCAGAGATGGAGTCAGAGGACTGAAGGGGAGGGGGAGGGAGAGGGAGGCTACGTTCTCAATAGGCGATTCAATCGTATTCAATGCCAAGTTCTCATTCTCCCTAGAATCAGCTCATGCTAGTCCCTCTTAGCCCCGCCCTCAATCTGAACCCCAGCATCCAGCCCCTTGGGGAAACCTTCCCCGCCTCCGCTAACAAAGGACATCACTTCTTCCTTGGTGCACTTAATATGGAGACAGGAAATAAAATGTTTGGCTTGCAGCTTAAGGGAATCGTCCAAAGGAGAAAAAGATCCTGGAGCTAAGGGACCTTGAATTAAGCAAACTGTCCTCAATGGGCGCACCCTCTTTGAACCTTCTGGAATCACCCCAAAACTGGCTTAGGAGGATGCAGGAAAATGACCCTTCGGGCTAGAATGGAGGACAGCTCAAACCCCACAGAGGAGGAAAACCTAAAAATTTCCGTCTCAGAAAATAGCCCAGAACAGCCTACTGGGTTATTCCCTGAGAAGACAATTTCCTCCAACCAAAAATTTCCTTTTCTCTGAAGGCTCAAGTGCCCTCACCCGCTAACTGCAATGTTGGGAGGTCAGGAACAGAGTTCCAGATGGTTCCATTTACTGTGGTCATTTCCCAGAGGGCAGAAGAAATGCCCAAGCTACATGTGCACCTCTACCCCACCCCAGGCCAGCAACAGGACCCTCTTTTATGTGGGACCCCAATAAAGAAAGCAAGCAGAGGTAAATACTGAGCAGCTTGGAGAGGTGCCTGAAAGCTGACTTACCCGGCCACGCCCTCATCCCCCCATGACCTGCCCGGGGCACCCCCAAAGATCCCTAAGGATCCACAGTGGTTGGAAAACCACTGCAGGAAATCCTTAAAGATCTCCCTCTGAAAATGGCTTCCCCTCTGCCCGGGAGGAATGTGAGAGCACGGTTCACCCACCAGGGGGCAACATACCAGAGCCTTGGTTGGAGCCTAAGAGAATGGAGGAGGGCGTCTCCCGGGAGCCAGAAAGGTCGAGGGTCTAAAAATACAAAAAGAGAGAGATGGACACGAGGCATGGGGGCCAATGTAGCCCCCCAGGGAAGCCCAGGGATCCTTGGGGGTGCTCATCACCGCCCCCGAGGCACCTCTGTGCCCTCTGCCTGGTATGTGCAGGCAGGGGAGGCCAGGTCAGCTGGGGCGGCCCTCCGCCTGTGCTCGGTCTCCCAGAAGGAGCAGGCTGGAACACAGCAGTGGGGTGGGCCCCTACTCAACTCTGCAGCCTTAGCTTCTAGAACATTCACCGTTTCCGCAGCTTCCTCCACTGACCTACCTACCCTCCCGATTTCTGCCACACCCGGAAAGGAGGTAGATCACGTCAAAACTAGGTCAGCTCGCGTTTATTCCACATTCACCTCTTACCAGGCAGTATCGTCAATGAAATTAAGGGGCTTTGATGGCGTGAGAACTTAATTCTCTTCCTAACACGCGCTGGGATAAATACATGACAACCACGGATGTAGAACATGATCGACGTGCCACCGGAAATGACTTCTACAGATGACCCACGCTGCACCCACCACGCTCTGGGAGGTGGGCGGTGCGACCTTCCGTGGCCAGTATGGCAGCCACCCGCGCCACGTGACTGCTTGTGTTTAAGCTGATTAAATAAAACTGAAGAGCCTGAGGTTTTGCTCACAGCAGCCCGGGTTCAAATGCGCAACAGCCACCTGTGGCTACTGGATCCCGTACTGGGCAGAGCAAACACAGACCATTTCCATCGTCACAGAAGCTTCTACTGGACAGCACTGCCGTCAACATGGGACAATCCCCAGAAAAGCAGCTGCTAGACCACACGAATGCCGTGGCGGGCTCCGCGACACTCTGTCCATGCCCGTGTGCCCGCAGCGGGGGAGGCGGCCCGCTAAGGCTCTGTCCCCACCACCCACGGTCTGACTGCCCCGCCTCGAAAACAGCCCTCTACAACATGGGACTTGCAGAGGTGATGGGCGTGGGGACGGGCCCGGAGACGCCACCCGGCCCCAAGCGTGGGTGTCACTGGCCAAAGGCGAGCGACCCACTCACCGAGCCACTGTCCTTGCTCTTCTCGGCAGGCGGCTCCTTGTCTTTCGAGGTGCTGGCAGTTTCCGTGGGGGCCGCCTGGGAGCCGGAAGAGCCCCCCTGGGACGACTTGCTTAGTGTTTCTGTGTTCACCTCGGCGTCTGCTTCCTGCTGGGGGGCAGTAGCTGCGGGGGAGGAAGAGAGAAGCGCGCGTGACGCGAGGGCCGCGGGAGCCGGCGCTCTGCACGAGGCCACGCCACCGCGCGGAACAAGCCTCACCCAAGGACCGTCTGTGACAGGCACCTCTGCTCCGCCCCACCCAGGGCAGGGGAACAGGCCCCAAGTGGCCAGGACTCCAAAGTTTCCCCGGAGCTGAAATTCCACACTTTGTGTGAACACAGGTGAACTTCTGGGTAGTTCATGAATTCAAGTTTTCTTCAATTATACTAGACACGACAGCACAGTGGGCGAGAGAAGAAAGTTCATCAGCTGAGCCAGCCTGGAATCGGGATCTAGAATTACTCATTTCACACTGTCTAATTTTAGAGCAATTTTAGCCCCCCTGGACTTCCTTCCCTCTGAGGCAGCGCAGGGAAACCCACGTGAAAAACAACACAATGTCAAAGACACAGTAGCTGGCGATGGTAGGAGTTTGGATGAACTGAAAAACAGCATTTGAGAGGAATTTCAGAAGGATGGACATCACAATGCCACAAAGAAAGGAAAACTGAAGGGCGCTTTGGCCATCTTGTAATAATAGCAGCAAAGGTCATCCATCAGACACGCTCCAGAACTTGGGAGAATTTAACTCCACTGCTGGACAAGATTTAATTTAAAGTAGCCATTAAGAAGACACTTCCCTAAGGACAGAGGACCCAACAACGTATGGTTCAATGTTCTCTCTTTAAAATAATGAAATACAGAAGATCTCTCCAGAGTAGGCGTTGGCAAACCAGGGCCACCTATTTTTTTAAATAAAGTTTTATTGGAACTAGTCTCGCCCACCACTTACATCTTGTCTATGACTGTTCTCTCCCTAAATCAGTATAGTAGGGCTGTTTCAACAAATCCTAAAATAGTTACTCTCTGGACCATCACAGAACGCATTTGCTAACCCCTGGCCTAGGGAGTGCTTCTCAGTCATGGTCATTCACCTATAACCTTCAAATTTTTGCCAGTCTAAAAAACACACTGCCTTGTCTTATTACTCATGTAATTTTTAAAATTTTAATTTATGTTATATTTTTATTATGTTATATTTTTGAGAGACAGAGCACAAGCAGGGGAGGGGTAGAGAGAGGAGACGCAGAATCCAAAGCAGGCTCCAAGCTCCGAGCTGTCAGCACAGAGCCCAACACGGGGCTCGAACCCACAAATGGTGAGATCACAACCTGACCCGAAGTCGGACGCTTAACTGACAGAGTTACCCAGGCGTCCTGATTTATGTAATTTTTAATTAAATCCATTAAAATGGAAACTTCTTACTCTTAAGTATATAAAACAAATATTATTTGTCAGAAATACAAGCTAACTGTAAAAATTAACTTCTAGAATATTGCTAACATATTCTAGCTGGACCAAATGTCCTCCTGGAGGCTCCCGGCGTGAGACCTGTTTGCTCGGTGTTAGAAAAGACAAAGTTAGTTCCAAACCAACACTGTTTCTGCAACAGAAGAATTGGGAATCCACAGCGCAGGGAGTTCAGTATTAACTTTAAATCAAGACTCCTCGGCGCCGGGGCAGCTCAGTCAGTTAAGCGGCCAATTCTTGATTTTGTCTCAGGTCATGATCTCATGGTTCGTGGAATCGAGCCGTGAGTGGGGCTCAGTACTGACAGCACAGAGGCTGCTGGGGGTTCTCTCTCTCTGCCCCTTCGCCGCTCACGCACGCAAACACACTCTCTCAAAATAAACTTAAAAAAAAAAAAAAAAAAATTTTAAGAGCAGGATTTCTCAGTATCGGTACAACTGACATTTGGGGCTATGGGGGCAGGACGGGGCTGTCTGGTGCGTACCAGAGGGTGGGCGGCAGCAGCCCTGGCCTCTGCCCCCCGGATGTCGGCCCCCACCGCCCCCCGTTAGGATGACAGCAAACAACCACAGTCACTGTCAGTGCCTTGGGGTGGGGATCAGTCACTGCACTGAGAGCCACGGCCGCGTGAACCTGCACCCCAGCAAGTAACGGGGGACCCTCAAGTCCACAACGGCCGTGCCTCGCACGTCTGCTGGGTGCGTGCGCACGCCGCTCCCCCGTGTGTGACGGGCACGGGCGCACCCCGGGGGCCGCACCTGACTGCGTGCAGGACTTCATGTGCTCGGGCCAGTGGGCCTGCTGGCAGGGGTAGTCGCAGTAGCTGGTGTTCCAGCAGCAGTAGAAGATGGCTTCCTTCTTGCAGTTGGCGCACCACTGCTTCTTCTTGGTCTCGTCCACGGCCTGCTGCTTCTCCAGCTCGAGCTGCTTCTTCACCTCGGCGATGAGCCGGTCCCGTTCCTGCTCCAGGCTCTGGCGCATCTCAGCCATGGTCAGCTCTGCCGGGGGAGGGGACAGGGCGCGGGCTTCGTCACCAGTCCCCCCCGGCCGCCCGGGGCGTGGAGATCCCCATAACGGATTGTAAAGGGGGGTCCAGGACATGGATTCCAACAGACAATGGGTGTGGGTCCCGGCTGGGAGGGGGCTCGGCGGCACGGCCCCCAGGCGGGGGACCCAGCCTGGAAGCCCCAGGATCTGCATCTGCAAAACGAGCATGCGTCACGCTGGTCGGACAGAGCTGCCCGTCAGAGTGCACATCAGTGCCCAGCGCGCAGGGAGCCAGAGCCCACGGCGATCCTGTGGGAAGCCCTCAGACAAGCCCATAAAACAATATCCACGTAAAAGGCCACTCTGAGTTTGATCAGCAGTATGACCTCTTCTCGCAACCAAATCAACCCCTTCATCTTCACACTAATCCTGAGACCAGCTCAACCAGAACAGTCCCTTCAGGGGGGCCCAGCCGGCTCAGTCGGCCAAGTGTCCAACTCTTGGTTTCGACTCAGGTCATGGTCGCCTGGTCCCTGAGTTCAAGCCCCACGTGGGGATCCCTGCGTGAGATCCTCTCTCTCTCTCTCTCTCTCCCAAAAATGAATAAGCTTTAATAAAAACAATAACGTCCATTTCACAGATGAGGAAACTGAGGCATACAGCTAATAAGGGCAGAGCTGGCACTAGCTCTTGGATACACTATCTGGTGTCAGTGGCCGTGGAGGAAATCCCTTAGACCAGGTGTTGGGACTGATCGCTACGATTGATCAACTATCAAATACTCCATCTACAGAGACTCCTCTAATTTCACGTCAGACAGGGAAGTCCATGTGCAGCCCACCCAGGAGTGACCTGCACACCGAAAGAAAAATAAATGATTCCTTGATTCGTAAAACTCTCTTCCTGAAAATTAAAGCAAACAAACAAAAAAACCAAGCGCGTGCACACGCGTGCACACACACGCACACACACACACGCACACACACACACACACACACACCCTAAAAAAAAGACCAGGAAAGAAAACTACCCTCTTGAACTTTGCCAGACCACACCTTTCTGACCCTTGTAAGTGCCTTTAACTAGAAGCCTGCAGACTATGGCATGTTCTGGCAAGCCCGCGCGTACTTTTCTTTTTCTTTTTTTTAATATTTTTATTTATTTCTAGGAGAGAGAAAGAGACAGCGTGAGCAGGGGAGGGTCAGAGAGAGAGGGAGACACAGACTCTGAAACAGGCTCCAGGCTCTGAGCTGGCAGTCAGCACAGAGCCTGACGCGGGGCTCGAACCCACGAACCGCGAGATCATGACCTAAGCGAAAGTCAGACACTTAACCGACTAAGCCACCCAGGCGCCCGATCGTACTTTTATTTTTCAACTGTGCAGCTAATTATTTAAAAATGGAGCGATTCTGCATAAACATAAGGTTCCCTGCCGGTACTACATTAGAGAAACAAGAAGCCGCAACCAAATAAACTTCTGCGTGAAAACAAGCGGAGGAACAGAGGGCTCCCTCCTCCCAAGGTCGGCTTCATACAGGAAGTCTGCAATGCACAATGTCGACACGTGTTACCTATGACAGGTGGGCACACCCGGGCCACCAACCCCCAACAAGGGAGAGCCGACAGCCTCCAGCATTCTGGCTCAGAGGCCAACCACTACGTGAGGGTCTCAAGGGAAGCGCTCTATCTCTGGGGGGAAAGCCTTTCACCCCACGGACACACGGACACAGAATACAAGCCCAAACAGCACGCAGTCTAAACCGGGGAAACCACAGCAGCCTTCTCCGCGGTACGCGGCCCGCACCAAGTGCTAGAGAATCCGCTAAAATGCACAGCATTCCACGGTTAGGAGGTGGGCTGGAGACAGAGCGTCCAGACCAAATCACAGCTGTGCAACCCTGAACAACTTCCTCAACACGTCTGTGCCCCGCTTGCTTTGACCTGGAAACTGGGATCACAGGGCCCCTTGTCGGAAGGGTTTCCCTGAGGATTTAGATCCGAGGAAAAGTACTTACAACAGCTCCCAGCACGGAGTCAGAGCTCAGTAAGCAGTAGACGCCATTGCGGGCACTGTGCTTATATCGCTACTGATGTGGGTATTTTGAAAAGAAAAGAGGAAGGCACCGCCCCCCCCCCCACCCCCACCCCACACCTGCTTCTTTCTATACCTGGTTTCTACTAGTTAGATGCAGACCATCCCGGACTCCGTGGTGTCCCCAGCAGCGGGACATCCCCAAGCCTACCTCTGACTCCGTTCACACCCACACCTATCTCCAGAGGAGCAGAGGCATTCACACCTCAAAGCGCCCCGGGAACAGACTAGTCTGCCAGGCCTTACCCAAGTTGTGCTTCATTTCGGAGAGCTCTTGCTGGTGCAGCCACTGCAGCTTCTCTATCTCGATCCTCAGCCTGCGGATCTGTAAGAAGGGACAGTAAGGCTCTCAGGAGGGGCGTCCGGGTGGCGTTCGCCGCCAGGGCTCACCGGCTGTAGAGGTCCACGCCAGGCACTCAGGTGAGGTCTAAGCAGCTAGAGGCACCAGTGCATTATCCCAAACTCAAGAGAAACTCTGTTTTTAAAAAAAAAAAAAAAAGGGGGGGGGCGCCTGGGTGGCTTAGTCGGTTAAGTGTCCGACTTTCGCTTAGGTCATGATCTCGCGGTTCGTAGGTTCGAGCCCCGCGTCGGGCTCTGTGCTGACTGCCAGCTCAGAGCCTGGAGCCTGTTTCAGTCTGTCACTCCCTCTCTCTCTGACCCTCCCCTGCTCACGCTGTCTCTCTCTCTCTCCCCTAGAAATAAATAAAACATTAAAAAAAAAAAAGAGAAACTCTGTTTGCGAAAAACAGACGCAGCCGACCCTCGAACATTGTGGGGATGGGGGCCAGGGCGCCAACTCGCCACAGTCAAAAATCCACATGTGACCTCTGCCTCTCCAAAAACTTACTAGCCTACTGCTTACCAGGAAGCCTTACCAGAAACATGAACAGCTGAACGCAGATGTTGTATGTATTGGATAATGTATTCTTTTTTTCTTTTTAATGTTTATTTTAGAAAGAGAGGCTGAGAGACAGAGTGTGAGCAAGGGAGGGGCAGAGGGAGGGAGACACAGAATCTGAAACAGGCTCCAGGCTCTGAGCTATCAGCACAGAGCCCTATGTGGGGCTCGAACTCATGAGCCGTGAGATCAGGAACTGAGCTGAAGTCAGACGCTTAACTGACTGAGCCACCCAGGCGCCTCTAGATAATGTATTCTTACAATTATGGAAGTTTGAGGAAAAAATGGTAAGAAAATCACAAGGTAGAGAAAATGCATTTGACGGTACAGTATTGTAAAAACGCCACATATAAAGGACAAGGGCAGTTCCAACCTGCTTTTCAAGCTCAACTATAAAAGTTGCCCATCTTTTCCAAGATATCTCGGCTCCAGGAAAACCCACTTAAGTAAAAACAAGGCAGGAGGAGGGTGCCCGGCTGGCTTAGCTGGTAAAGCATCCAACTCTTGATCTCGGGGTTGTAAGCTCAAGTCCCACGTTGAGCACAGACTTGACTTTAAAAATGAATGAATGAAGTAAAAACAAGCACCAGATTTTCATAAGAAGTTAAAAACAAGTCTTGATTAGAATGTTGGTCTTAAAAAAATGCAACTAAAACAAAGTTAGCTGTGTTTGATCTCTTAACCTAACATTTGAGATGGGATCCATAGTTATTCACCTGAAATTCCAAAGCCTACCGTCTCTGGAAACCAAAGGGTATTTTTGGAGGGAGGGAGGGTTAAATTCATTTGAAGGGAGAAGAATGAACTCTGCCTGAATGTGGGGCTCTTTACAGTGTTCGGTGACCACAGTGGCTCTCCACCGGAGGGTTGACCTTGCCCTTCACGCTCCCTCCACGATGCTGCAAGATCTGAAGACCTCTGGGGCTGTCACAAAGGAGAGCTGCGACTGCCATCAGAGCAGAAGCCAGGGATTGGCTCAGCACCCTAGGATGCACAGGACAGTCCCCCAACAGAGAGTTATCTGGGACAAACATCGGAATTGCTGAGCTTGAAAACCCCTAATTTATTCCACAGCAAAAATGCTGCAATGTTTGGGGCAGACAGCTGCATAGTGCCTCTTCAAATACGGAAAAATTCTGGCACACATCTGGACCCCAAAATTTCAAGTCATTACAGCTCCGTATTTTTTTTTTTTATGTTTTATTTATTTCTAGGAGAGAGAGAGAGAGACAGCGTAAGCAGGGGAGGGTCAGAGAGAGAGGGAGTGACAGACTGAAACAGGCTCCAGGCTCTGAGCTGGCAGTCAGCACAGAGACCGACGCGGGGCTCGAACCCACGAACCGCGAGATCATGACCTAAGCGAAAGTCGGACACTTAACCGACTAAGCCACCCAGGCACCCCTACAGCTCCGTATTTTCAACCACTCATCAATCCTTGGTCTCGTTGTAGAGATGGTCACATGAGCAAAATATCCCAGGAACTCACAGGCTCCTCTCGGGACCTCTCTCAAAGCTTCGTATTTACACTGTTCACCGCGAAGAGCCTAGTAGGGCACCTGCCCACGGGAGATTTCCTCTTCGTCTGAGCGCTGGCCTAACCTTGCCACGCCCTCGCTGGTCAATAGCTTGCATGGAATTTCCCGGCCTCCAACATCACGTCCAATGACTTCAAAAAATTCTTTCACTTGTCATTTCACCTGGTAACCCTTCTGCATCTGGCTTACAGTGAATTAGCCTGGCCTCAGAAGTCAGTTCAAAGAGATCTATTGTGGGGTGCCTGGGGGGCTCAGTTAAGCATCCAACTCTTGGTTTTGGCTCAGGTCATGATCTCACGGTTCATGGGTTCGAGTCCCACGTCTGGTTCTGTGCTGCCAGCTCAGAGCCTGGAGCCTGCTTTGGATTCTGTGTCTCCCTCTCTCTCTCTGCCCCTCCCTAGCCCAAGTTCTATCTGTCTCTGTCTCTGTCTCTCTCTGTCTCTCAAAAATAAACATGAAAAAATTTAAAAATAAAACAAAACAAAAAAAAAAACCCACAAAGAGATCTATATGATGAATGGTCAATTCCTAAACGGGCATCTTTGTGTTTTAACCACTTCGTTCCCTAGGCAACCACGAACCATGGAGGCTCTCAGCACACAAATTCTTAGACGACAAGGACCCCTCCTTTAAAAATGTCCAAACTTACAGAGGCCAGGAGACAATTAAACACGGGGCCACAGGAACTGACTAATTCCCAGGGTCACCAGCGGGTTAACTCGGGCTCCAGTATTGGCTGTTTGACTAGAAGTGAACGGTGGAGCCACAGAGCAGCCTTCTGGGTTAATGAAGAAACAGCCTCCCCAACAAACACCATTGGCTGAGCACCCTGGAGAAGCTTCCAGAGCAGATGCTTCCTGGCGCCATTTTACAGCTGCCTGTATAACATCCTTAGCAAGTAAGGCATCACATGTCGTCTCTGACCTCAGCTATCGTGCTCCCGGTAGTGTTTTTAGAAAGATCATTGTAGATCTCTGTCATCGTTCCTTTTATTGCATCCATCATCTGAAAGATAAAAACAGAAATGATTCAGGTGACCACCTCCCTGAGGCTCTTCTAGATGACATGCATCTCAACTCTAACACAGAGCAGTGGTTCTCTGTCCCTCACAGGACACCTGGCACATGCAGTTGTCACGACTGATGGCTGGCGGGGGGGGGGGCGGCACACTATTGGCATCTAGCGGGTGGAGGCCAAGCATGAGCTCTATACACGATATACAGAAAGCAGCCCCTAAAGCAAAGAATTATCTAGCCCAAAATGTCACTAGTGCCAAGGAGGAGAAAATCCAGTATAAACCAGGGTAGGAAAACATCAAGCTAGTTTCTATAGCCACAGGCCAATCTGGAGAGGCTGAACTTGGGCCCTAGGCCTGTTGGGTTTAGCCAGCACTGTGTGTTCAAGGGAAGTATGGTTTCCTTTTGTGACTGTTGGTTCTAAATTCCTTCCCCTTTAAAAACAAAAACAAAAACAAAAAAAGTTCTATTGCAGTATCATTCATTCATCTACCAATTGACCCATTTATGTGCCCAAATCCATGTCTTCTAGTAGGTGGGGGGTTGTACATCCATGTCCATGGTCCGGTTCCCCAAAAGGAAACTCTGCTGCCCCCTTAGCTTTCACCCCACAAGGACCCCATCAGCCCCCAGCTCCTGACAATCCCTGATCTGCTTTCTACACGGATAGATTTGCGTCATCTGGATGTTTTGTGTCCATGGTTTCACACAATGCGCAGTCCATGGTGAGCCTTCTTCAACTAAGCACAGATGTTTCAAGATCCGTCCATCACACACTGGATCAGCGCTTCATTCCTTTTTATGAATGAATTAATCTAGACCATTATGTGGCGAAAGCTGGTTCGTATTTGAAGGCCTTCGGTCAGCGCTTGCTCTCCCCCACTGCCTTTCCGCTGTGCCTCCCATCCTCCTTTCCTGAACTCTGAGCCCTAAAACCGTCCCCAAGTTTGTGATGCCAGCTCAGGCTGACGCAGCAGGCACCCCGTTCTCTGAGGACTGAATGTGTCTGTAGGATGGATTCCCTCCTGCCTTCCACTTACTGCTGACCCCGCCCCCCAGCACAGGGGGAAGAGAGGGGAGAGGAGACCAAAGCGGCCTCAGGACCTGGCCAGGCTGCGGCCATGTCTGCACATGGTTCTACAATTTGTGCCAATCCGGGGCGAGAAGGCAAGACAAAAAGCACCCTGATTATCTGATGTGTGAGGTCTCTTCCCACCATCACCTACTCTCTGAGCCTCGGTTCCCCCACGTAGAAAACACGGGTGAGGACAGTGGGCCAGTGTCGGGTGTGCACAAAGATGGAATGAAAATCCTACATGGAGACAACGGTTCAGTATCTGCCATAGGGCAAGTATTCAGAAAGAAAGACTTGTTCATCTTATTTTTACAGGGGGGGGGGGGGAAATCCACATGAGCTGTAATTAATAAACTGCCAAACCCCAAAATAGTAACCCCTCATTCACCCCCAAAATGGCAGGAAAATGACTACAATTTCTGTTGAGGTTTCTGCTCCTCGCCCGTTCCGGGGGCCACACGTGGACACGGCCAGGAAAAACACGTCGTGCTCCTCGCCCCTCTGGATGGGCCTCCCTGCCCCGCTGCACCAACCACGTCAATTTAAAACATGAAGGCAAAATCGCTTTACAAGAAAACTAGAAAGTGCGTGAAATTCAATACATTACTAATGTAATGGTTACATTCCATTATACAGAAATCATGATCTGTGGATGGATTTTCACTCTTTCTTCCAAATATAGCAAAGAACTCAGCATTAATCAGAGAGAACCCTTCTGCCAAAACACACAACTCCGGGTCACCTCCGAGACAGGGAAGTTCATCAGCTCCAAAATATGTCACTGTGTTCATTTTCTTAACTGCGAAGAAAATGTCTATCTCTAAGTTCATCCTTCAATTTTGCTGCAAGGGAGGGCAGCTGAAGAAATAAAGATACGGCAGGAGCTCAGAAAACCAGCTCAGGACAAACCACCAGCCAGGTCCACGCAGCAGACCTCAGTTTCCTCATCTGTCAATTGGCAACGTGGACCCAATCACTGGAAGGTGGTGTAAGGCTGTACTCAGAAGAACAAGAGACCACGTGGGCATACCAGACACCCTCTTAAATCAGTAATGAGAAAGCCACTCCCTCTCCGTCCCCTGTGACCCTGCATGCTGCATTAGGAACACGGTCTCACGGTCACGCACCAAACACTTTCATGACGCTCTCTCTTTTTAAGCAAAGGAACACAAACTTGGGCTTCAAGCTTTGATAAAGAATGGCTTATCTGACAATGTTGGACTCAATTTTTGTTTTATTCTTTAAGTCAATTTAAAGAAAATTATATTCAATTCAAGTGAAAATATTAAATCAATGTCCACCAGTTGGTGAACAAGGAAGACTAAAATCTTAAGGACGGCAATAAATCAGTCCCTTGACTCCCTCCTGTTCTGACACTCAAGGAGGCTCTGACAATTCATGCATTTTACTCAAAAGGAGGACAAAAAAAACTAAGTAAGAGATGACATTATCCCCAAGACCAGTACTAATTCTCTCTCTAGCTGGGGGGATGGGGTGGGGGTGAGGTTGGGGAGTGGGGTGGGGGTGAGGTTGGGGAGTGGGTGGGGTCAGGTAGGGTTGTTAAGAAGAAGAGTCAACTTATGCACACTGGACATCTGTGGTCAGTAGGCTTCACAGGAATAAACAAACTGGCTCAAAGGCACTCTCTAGGTCCTGGCAGCTACTGTTCAAATCCCAGCTCAACCATCCAGACTTTGTAACCCTACTGGGCACAGTCTTCTCATCTATAAAATGGGGAAGATACCAGTACCTACCTCATCAATTTGTTATAGAGACTAAGGAAGTAACACAAGAGCATGACACTCCCAGCAGGTATGAAGCCTAGAGTGACACCACACTAACACTGTCTAGTACTAGTACCTTCTTACTTAGTGTGAAAGACAGGTGGCTCTCGATGATGCTAGGTGCTCTGACATTTGTGACCATGTGTAATCCCCTCCCTTCCAGTGTGAGCTGGCCCAGTGACCTGCTTCTAACCAATGGACTATGACAAAGGTAACGGGCTGTCACATCTGAGATCAGGTTACAGAAGACTGGCTTCCATCTTGCTCACAGGCTTTCCTGATCACTGGCTCTGAGGAAGCAAAATGCCAAGTATGAAGGCCCACATAGCAAGAACTGAACGCAGCCTCTAGCCAAGAGCCAGCCTGGACCTGAAACCCCCAGCCCAACAGCCCTTGAGGAAGTAAATTCCTTCCTCACAACCACCTAAGTCAACTTGGAAATGGATCCATTCCTGGCCGGGCCTTCGGATGAAATCTCAACCCTGGCAGACACCTTGACAGCAGCCTGCTAGAGGCCCTAAAGCAGAGGACCTCGCTGAGCCCAGCCAGACTCCTGACCCCAGAAGCTGTGAGGAGAAACGGGAACCCTTTTAAGTGGCTAGGTTTCGTGCTCATTTGTTATGCAATGATACTTGATATGTATCAATGGAAAGAAAAGAAAGAAAACAGCCAACAAAATCACATGGGTCTAAAACCATAAACGTCACTGGTCATCCAGAACTAAAGGAGAGCCCGCCTTTAACACCACATAATAAAGCAAGGCTTTATCATGACGTGTCAAAGATTCTAGAAACAGCTCTTCTCAATCACGGCCACCCATTCTCCCTATAAACCTGAATAACGTACTCATTAGTAACGAACTAACCATTTACTCCTTAGTGAAGAGTAAATTATTATTACCACCTACTGAGTAACATACTAAACACTCTGCCTAGATTATTCCTCACTAACGACTAGTGATAGCCACTGATGGTAATAAGCCCAACAAAGAGAAGTTAGGCACCAGCATGCATTCATTTGAGGGCCCTGCGGCAACACCTACTCTGAGTCAGGCACCCTTCTGGGCCCTGGAGGTGAGACTCCTGCCCTCACGGTTGTTCTGCTATTGAGCACTCTGTGGCTATGGCACCACACATCATTCCAGAGCAATCTCCCGTGACCTGAAGAGTACCTCCAGGCTGTATTCGCCTGAATTCAACAACGAGCACAGAGGCACCAGGCAAATGAAGAGAAAGAGCCTGTGTGGAGAGAAGATCAACGAGCGAACTCTCGGGAACCCTACTGCCCCAGGGAGGGGCGAGCGGGAGGAAATCCCCCATGTCCCAGTCTGTTTGGGCGTGGGTACCCTGCCTTGCAAACCACAGGCCTGAGACTCTAACTCATTCCCACGGCTCCTAAATCACAAACCAGCTCCTTGGACTGTTATTAACTGACAGAACTTCTACTAACTTGTTCCAGCGCTTAAGGTAACAGTCTTAATGAGTGACGGGAATCCCAAAGGGTAATTCTGCCACCGTGTCATTCTCCTGCTCTGTTCTGACATTGGAATGTAAGTGCTCACGGGGCGCCTGGGGGGCTCAGTTAAGCGTCCGACTTCGGCTCAGGTCATGATCTCGCAGTTGGTGGGTTCGAGCCCGTGTGGGGCTCTGTGCTGACAGCTCAGAGCCTGGAGCCTGCTTCAGATTCTGTGTGTCTCTCTCTCTGTCCCTGACCCCCTCAAAAGTAAATAAAAACATTAAAAAATTAAGAAAAAGAATTTAAGCGCTCAGAACAAGATGTAGTCCATTCTCGATTTCTCTGCTTAGATGCAACTTTAGAGCCAAATGGAAAAATGTGAGCTTGGAGACCCTCAGTGAGAAAAGGGCCTTCTCCCCCAAGCACCCCGCAAAGCCTGCGAGGTCACGATCCTCCATGCTCCCCCCCCGGAAGCTGGTCCTTTGACACCCCCAACCCCGGGTGCCACAGACACTCACTTTGCTGGTGTACTTGGCAATGTCGGCAGCGACGTCAGCGGAGGCAGTGGCGATGGGCAGGTCTGCACTGACTGAGGACGCGAGGGCGCTCGTGGCCCCCGAGCTGGTGACCAGAGGCGACGACTGAGTGCTGGTCACCAGGGTGATGGTGGAGGTGGAGGGGCTCTGCGTGATCTCCTTCTGCTGCACAGCTAGGAAAGTAAAGCGTCACGGTCACATCACCACCGCGGGAAGGGCCCAACCCAGCACGACGCAGCACAGAGCAAGCAGTCCCCAACGTGTGCCCTTTGAGCTTTCCTACTTTCAAATGACACACACCCTCCCCTTGACCAGACTCCAGCCAGGATCCTCTAAGCCTCTTCTGGGACCAGGCCTCAAGCAAACACAAACACATTTTCCAACAGTGCAAGGCTGCATCCTTGGGAGGACCCCGTACCCCACTGAAATGCCCGCCTGAGAAAATTCGAGGCTGCCAGGTGAATTTCCCAGTTCTTCCAGCCAACCCCCGTGACCCTGTCTCCCAGGGAAGGTAGGAGCCTAACTTTGAGAAGCATCAGCGAGCAACCCCACATGGGTTTCAAATGGACCAACCCCTACTTCCCTTTTTTTGTAAAATGTCACTTCCCTGACTCTATTAGAGGTCCCCAACTCGGCCCCTTCCCTACCCACCCCCCTCCAGTCTCCCTTTAAAATGCCAGTCACCTCTGTACAAAGTGAGGCTGACTTCAGTTCATGCTAGAGTTTTTCTCCCTCTCGTAATAGTACATACTGATGAAAGCCTGTCCTTACCACTTTAACTAGCGTCCAGCTTTGGTCGTCTTTGACACAAGACAGTCTGGAAATTGAGAACCAGACCATCAATGGGCCCCTCAAGGCCAGCACCTAAGTTCCTACGCAGAAGCCCATAATGCTTACAGGGTGTGAAGACAAGAAAACATTGGAACTGGTGAGGTCATCCCGACCTCAAATATCCTAGATTCAGTTCTCCCCCCGGCTCTTTAAGGAGCAGGAGCAGGGGCACCCAGGAGGCTCAGTCGGTTGAGCGTCCGACTTCGGTTCAGGTCATGATCTCACGTTTTGTGGGTTTGAGCCCCGCGTTGGGCTCTATGCTGACAGCTCAGAGCCTGGAACCTTCTGTGGATTCTGTGTCTCCCTCTTTCTCCGCTCCTCCCTCACTTGTGCCATGTCTCTCTCTCTCTCTCTCTCTCTCTCTCAAAAATAAAAAGTATTTTTAAAAAAGTTTTTAAATAAACAAATAACAGAACAATCCAGGTGCATCTGTCCAATCTGTTAGTCTTCCCTCCAACCACCCCCAACCCCCACCCCGTCTTCAAAGGGATTTTGGGAGCTATTCAAGACCCGGATACCTTTCAACCCACATCCTGTGGCTTCTCTTTAGAACCCTACTCACTATGGTACGCTCAGTATGTGAGGGTTTCAACTGAAGACCCCGATCTCCAAGGATCTAGATGCGGGCTCCCCTTGGGAACAGCTGGACGGCCTGGCCCTCATCTGTGCAGCACCAGATGGGGCCCCCTCTGGGGCTCGGGCGGGGGGAGGGGGAGATCTGATTCCCCAACTCAGGCGATGCTTCTCGATGCTGGCTCTTCTGCTGCGTGTGGCTAATCCCCGGTGCTGAAGATGCCCCTTGCTACCAGTTTCTCACACTGCATGCACTCTTCCCAAGATGGCGCCAAGAGGTTGATGACGCATGTGCCCAAGAAGACTTACGCAAAGGTATTCACTGCAGCACTGCTCACAACAGAAAAAAACTGGGCGTGACCTAAATGCCCATCAGGAGGGGAATACTTGATTTAAATCAACTGTGGAATACTACACAGCAGTCTGAAAGGGTAATGACGAGCTCTGTGCACTAACGTGGATAAACTCCAAAACATGCTGATGGGTTTAAAAAAAAAAAAAAAAAAAAAAAAAAAGGAGGGGGGGAAAAAAGGAAGAAAAGGGGGGGAAAAAAGCATGGTACCATTTTTATGTTTTAGAAAAAAGAAAAAAGAAAAAGTACTATTTTTATGAGGATTCATATATACGTGAATATATATGCATACATGCATAAAAAAAGGTTTCACAGTGAACAGTGGCCGCTGAGAAAGGGTGGAGAATGAAATGAAGTTCAGTGGAGACAACAGATTTGGGGGCCGATGTTTCCCCCTTTCTGAGAAGCATATATGCACATATCGTTCAGAAAATGAAAAAAAAAATAAATCAAAGTGAAAAAACAAGTGGCGAAACAGTTTTTAAAAATAATGCCAAATGGAACGCAGAAGGCCTTGGCGACGGGGCGGCCGTGAAACAAAAAGGAACGGAAAAAACAAAACGGTCCCCTCTGTCCTGTCCACGTGGCGCCACGGAGAACAGAAGGGGGCGTGCGCGGTACCTTTCACAGCCTGTCTGGTCTGATATCTCGTCCCCTGGGCGCACTGTGGCTGCGGCTGGCTCTGCGGCTGGCTCTGCTGCTGACGCTGTATCTTCTGCATGTGCCACTTTTGGGAAGACGTTTGAAACTTACTTGACGAGTTCCACACGACCCGCTGCACGGCCGGGGCAGTCTCCTTCGGTAAGAGCGGCCTCTGCTTTTTCACCGGGCTTCCTGTGGCGGCGGCGGCCGGGGCCGTGACGGTGGACGTGGTGCTGGTGGTGGCCGTGACACCAGCCGTGGGAGTTTGGGAGGAGGAGCGGGTGAGGAGCGGAGTTTCAGGTGGGGACTGGCTGCCCGCCGTTGTGGATGGTGGAGCTTTACCTACAACTGAAGCCAGTGCATGGGGGGGGGGGGGGGGCGGGCAAACAAACAAACAAACAAGAGAGCGGATTGGACTCAGGTTCCCATGCGGGGACTCTACGCCAGCAGGCTCTGGATAAAACCACCTGAGGCCGGCCAGGGATGCCGGACAAATGTGCTGTGGCGAGGACCCCCCCCAGTGGAGGAGGACATCTCACCTTGCCCACGTAGGCCACTTGTGCACATCTGTCTCAGCGTGGAGGCCCCTTCTCAGGAACACAGGTCCACGTCTGAGACTCTTCTCGGGACCTCTGGGAGACATGGGAGCTAGGCCCAGCCCCTGCCCTCAAGTTGCCCAACGACAGGTGGATGAACAGAATCGCTGCAAGAGGCTTGTTTCATGCACAGAACTGGGTAATAAGCACTTTGTGAAAGACCCAACCAAAGTCAATCGAGAGACTGAGAGAATCCCGTTGGCCAGGGCACCTACGAAGCATGCACCCCAAAGGATCGGATGGCTTCTCAAAGGCCAAAGCACTCAACAACATCAAGTCCCCCAGAAAGACAAGCATCCCTTGACCTCTGACTCCCTCCGGGCCCATGTCCCAGTTGTGCTGCTAATGGCCTTGACACCTAACACTAAACCCCGAAGCCAGAACTTTCCCAACATGATGGTATTCATCTTGAAGTTGGCAGACTTGCTTTTTTGTTGCTGCTGTTGTTTTCTTGTGTTTTTTTAAATTTTGATGCCAGTATTGTTAACATACAGTGAGGTCTGCTGCAGGTGTACAACACAGAGACTCAACAATTCTGCACAGTGCTCAGTGCTCACGGTGAGCATACACCTTATGCGTGCGGTGGTCAAATCTACATCTACAATGAGCTTAAGTTTTCTGTTAAGAGTGGGCTGCTTTAAATAAAAACATAAAGTCCATGATTATACAAGCAGGACTCGGGAAGGGCAAAAACAACAAATGTGAAGGTAAGTTTGGAAAAAGCTGCCTTGTGGAGTCTGTCTTCGGGGGTGGGGGAGGGGTAAGATTTCAAGAGGCGGAAGGGAGAATCTGGAAGGTGACAGCAGCAGCCGAGGCGTGTTTGGGAACAGGCGCCATCTTGGTCAGTGAGGGTAGGCGGTAAGGAGGGGCAGGAAGGCAGGTTAGAGCCAGAAGCACTGAGCAGCGTAGAGGGGGTGGCCACATAGTGCTCATCACTGCGGAGATGCCAGGTACCAGGGAGGGGGGGCTTGTGCCCCAGAGAGCAGGCCCAGGGACCACACACAAAGCTCAGGTACAAGTCAGCACTCCGACCCTGGCATGTGCTTGACATAAACGCCCCTTCACGGAGATGCCTGTCTGTTTAGATTTGTATAACCCGGGAAAGACATGACCTTGATATTCTAGGGAGGATTTTCCATGCACTGGGTTTTAGGAAGTCAAGGAGAGTAAGAGGAAAAAAACCAAAACCAAAACCAAAACCAAGCTGACTATCCTGATGGAGAGGTGGGGCTCATCACATCTGGCTGGCTTCTCCACCCTCCTGCTCCTCTGAAGAGGAGACCCTGGCCAAGTTCACAGGCAAAAGCACAGGAAGAGCCAGAGGGGTAGCTCCTCCCACAGTGAGGAGCCCTGATCCTTCCCTGGGAAGACAGGATGTGCCAAATACTGGATACAGTCCCTGAGCCTTCCAGGTGGAGAGGTGGCTTCAAATCTAGTTTTCCTATGAGCCCTGCACCAGACCAGCCCCTGTGGGGATTGGGGGGGGGGGGGGGTCCTCAATCCCGTAGAAGCACATTTAATGCCTCCCGTTTATTCCAGGTGGCCAGAAAAGAAATACTGTTACGGCTGACAAGCTAGCCTAGTCCCTCTCTCCTCAGACACAGGGCTACCACAAAAAGGTCCTTTCCTTTCTAGCAATTTTCAAAAGCAAACAACTGGCTTCGCAGGTGGCTTGCCGCTCTGTGGTAATCACAGCGGGCCCTCTGCTCCAAAGAAAACACTGGAATGTACAATCTGAATAGATGGTAGGCTCAAAGCACTTAGACACTAAATGATTTTGATTTCTAGCAGATTCTAATGGTTTATGGGGGGGGGGGGCGGGGAAGGCCAGAAGAAATCCCATTTGTCCTAGAAATTTAAAGGGCATAATCAAATGACCTGTAGCCCAAAAAAGGGTGGGTCTCTTAAGGGCCAATATTCCAGAAGCTGTCCCTACTTATTAACCTACTTCTTCTAGACTTTGGTCACTATCTAAAAGGCAGGCTTTTATCACCAGCCACAAAGTTGTTTCCTACTACCTATGTCTCCATATTCTGTGCATGAGCCACAGTCCCAGCTGAAGGGAAGGTGGAGATCACCACGGCTCACTCCAAAGTGCCCTTTAGCTAATAAACTCCGAAGTGAAAACACACCATTGAAAAAATGCTCTACAGCACAGTCTTGTACAAAGTCAATTCTTCAAAACCAAACTACCATCGAGGGGCTCTAGATTTTAACACTGGCACGTCTCTGTCCCAACCCCTGGGACAATGCACGAACTGAATTAAGTTTCAGAATCGTCTTCAGCTTAATCACATCTACCGCACACTTGGGGTCTCGTGGAGACATTTCCTTTCGACACCAGTGCAAGAAAGAGCTGTATTTCATGTAATCGACTGGGATGCTTTTAGTTTGGGGAGAAAATATATCTTTTAAGGGGCTGTATTTCCCTTTTTGCTTTGACTGCTAGGAAGCTCAGAGTCAAAATGAAGGCTCAACTCTGCTAACTCTGAAGGCTGAAACAGTACATAGTTATGTGCATAAACCTTCCCAGACCTCTGGTTATTCTACCTTCCTCTTTGACAGACTTATTTTTATTTTCTTTCATGGTTAAATATTCTTGTCATTGTCAATCTGTTACAGATTCTTTCTGGAAGAGGAATAAAAGCAATCTATCAAAAGATACATTCCAGAAAATAAGGAACGGAAAAACTATCACTCACACGAGCACTGCCTTCTCTGTACCCAAACGTGTCCAGAAACCGCATGGAATAAATACTCCTCTCCTGCCGTTTTCGGCCCCATCTGCCTCAAAATGCAATCCCCCACAAAATGAGAATTGTCAGAGGCCGTCCACAAATCCAAGGTGACTCGGGAATTGTGCGCTCTTCTACCCTCCCTGCCCCACTCAACTGCTTCTCTTCTCCCTCCCCTGCACCATGCAGACACAGCCCATCAACGAACTGCAGAAATTCCCTCTCCCTAACCAGTCAGGCTCCCCAGCACAGAAGATGCTCAAGGCCCATCCCCCACTTGCTTTATGCAGCCAGACTCGGAAATCCTCAGGGGGTAGAGAACCTTACTCAAGAGTTTGGTTGGGAAGTTAACGCCTGATCAGAAATTAAACCTGACCGTCCCTCCAGTCACTCACAAAGCACATAAGGTTTTATGGCTACAACTTTGTCTCTAGGCAGTGTTTTTCCTGGGCCCTAAATTAATTCTTCTGTACCTTTCGTGGGCATGTTGGAGTCCCCGCATCCTCACGTGGCAAGCCAGCTGACCGCTTTGTCGATGCGAAGGACACCCTTCACATCATTCACCTGCTCTTTCTGGAGGACATGCCAACGTGCCTGGGAGGGGGGGGGGGGGGGGGGGGGGGGGGGGGGGGGGGGGCCACTCCTGGTTCCATCTGTCACAGCAACAATGGCAGCACCACTCGGAGAGGTGATGGTTCTCAGCCAGAGATTTTTGCCTCCCAGGGGGCAAATGCCAATATCAAGACATCTTTGATGGTACCAGTGGGCCGAGGCCCCTTGCAGCATCGGGTAGAGGCCCGGGATGCCGCCGAACGTTCCCCAGCACACGGGACAAAGAACTACACAGCATGAAACCTCAACAGTGCCAGCGCTCAGACACCTTGCACTCAAGTCGGATTAACACATATATGGTGGCACTTCGATTCAGGTGCCCACCATCCAGTGCCCTCTCCCTACCTACGGCCCCAAGAAGCACTCGGCATGCCAGTACCACCTCCCCAAACGGTCTGATTCCAGTAGGAAAATGTACCGTGAGGCGCCTGAGCGGCAAGAAGTGAAGAAAGGGAGCTGAACTCATCAAGATCTCTGAATGGATTAAACATTTCTAAAAGGGGCGCCTGAGTGGCTCAGTCGGGCGACTCTGGCTCAGGTCATGATCCCACGGTTCATGAGTTCAAGCCCTGCAGAGGGCTCTGTGCTGACAGCTCAGAGCCTGGAGCCTGCTTCAGATTCTGTGTCTCCCCCTCTCTCTCTGCCCCTCCCCCACTCGCGCACTGTCTCTCTCTCTCTCTCTCTCTCTCTCTCAAATAAACTTAAAAAAATTTTTTTTAAATAAAACAAAAAAATGAACACTTCTAACAATTTCAAATTGTCAAAAGTCTACATGTTGACAAATATTTTGGGGAAAATGAGTAAGCATACTGGGAAAGTAGGTGCTCGGGCTAAAAACAGTGACCTGACAGCTAGAAACACCTACCATTGTTTATTTTCCTGAGCTCAAAATCAACCACACTGGGACCTAAGCAGGCAGGCAGGCCTGGGGGAGTGGGGGGGCGGGGAGGAGTCAGTCCTGGCTCTGATTAGGAACTCAGCTAGGCGACCTTGAGCTAATCAAAGGCCTGCTCCAGTGCCTCCCTTTGCTACATATGTCGGAGAAGCATGAAACTTCCGGAAATACAAGGGCAAGGTGGCACCCTAAACTGGGTCAAGAAACCGACGCTGGTGGGGGTTCACTTACCATCCTGCTTGGGAGATGGTTCTTTGGGTTCCTTCTTAGTTTTTCGACCCTCCCGCCCAGTATGGTCTTCTCCTAAATCTATGACAAGTTCACTCTCTGAGTCAGAGTCCAGGCCCAAGTGCACTGTTGGGGAATCCGTCTCATCTTTTCCCTTCGGTTTGTCCTTGGCAGGGTGAGGGGAGGCTTTTGCTTTTTCTGCAAAGTCCTTCTCGGGCTGGGGGCTGGCCTTTTCTTTGGCCGGGCCCGGGTCTGCTTTCTCACTGGCTGGCGATGTGCTTTTCAGCTCCTCCTTCACCTCCCCCGGGTTTGCCAGTTTGGGCTTTTTTTTCACAGCCGATGGCTCTTTGTCCATCTGACCACCCTCTTTGTCTTCTGCGTCTTCTGGCTCGTTCTTGGACTTCTGTTCATCGTCGCTGATATACTCACTATCGCTACTATCGGACTTCTCTGAATCCTCCGAATCGCTGTGCTCTACGGCTGTGTAAACATCTTCTGAGATTTCATTGATGCCTAAATTCAAAGAGAAAATCCAGCATGTGGCGTAGTCACAAAATAAAGAGTGGGACCCCAAATGCAAACACTTTCCACGCCAAATGCTGGAATAAAAAAAGACATTTCAAATTGCATCACACAGGCCTGGCGGGGTCAGCAGTGAATGACAGCTTACAGACACAACTTGGGTTTGCCGAGGGTTTCGGTTACTGACATTCTAAGATGACAAAGGACCAGACAACATAAATTTTAAATTTATCCGGAACTACATCTTTGCAACACCGATACCTCACTGGGATGTAGAGAAGGGAAGGGATGGGGAACATAAGAGATGAGCAATTAAAATGGATCCATTTTACAGATTAGAAAACCGAGGCCCAGAGAAGTCACTTACCCTAAGGCATAAAGAAAACCAAGACAGAGGCAAGGCCGGAACCCAGGGCGCTCCTGACAGACTTCCCATGCTCTTCCCACCCATTCCCAACACATCTGAGTCCTCTTCCTTTGGAGTCCAGAGCTCAAAGAAATAAGCCAAAGGCTTAAAGCAGAGGTTGCCAACTCCCTGTGCACAAGCCACATCTGGCCAGCACACATGTTTTATTTAGGGAGCCGTCACTTGGCCCAGCGGCTCTTTTGTTGTCTGTTTGGAAGGTATTGCCCAATTCACAAATGAGGAAATTTCACACAGAAATCAAGTCAGCGGGCTTGGGTGGAAAGAACAGAAAATGTGGCCGCTCTGGGTCCCAGGCCTGCAAGGCAGTGGCTGGCTGCAGCCACAAGCCACTGGCCCCTTCCAGCAGGGACACACCGTCTCCAGGTGACCCGGGCACCCACCCCCTCTCTAGTGCCCTGCGCTGATGCAGAGTCACACTGCCCCCTTGTCTGCCCTGGTCTTCCTCAGACAGCGGAGTCCAGAGCAAAGTCACCTGTTTCCAAGGCTCTATCATAAGGCCAACTGACCAAACAGCAGGTGTTTCACAGCCAGAAACAAAAATGGGCAGAAGCGTATTCCACATAACACCCTGGTGTGTCCTGCACCCAGGAAGGAGGGTCATCTAGCCACAGGTAAGTAACACTGTATCCTACAGTTTCGGAAAGAGGAAAACACAAATTTGAGCCGTCTTCAATCTGGGGCAAAGGTCACCACGAGTGGGGTCACTGTTTGGACCCAGACACGCGGAAAGGAAACTTGCAAACTGATGAAAGCTATGAGCAGCCCAGGGGACCAGACACCAGCAGAATCATCCCAGAATTAGATCTGCCTCCACCAGGGCGCAATCAAAAACAGGAGAAGCCCAAAGACAAAAACTTAGATCGGGTGTAACTCCTGGGTCTGAAGAACCGTGCGAGACTGTAGGGAACTGCGTACCAGAGCCCAAGAGACATGAATTCGAATCTTGCTCTTGCACACTGATTCACTGTATGACCCTGAACTAGTGACCCACCTCTCTGAGCCTCAGTTTCTTCATCTGCAAAATGGGAGTGATAACGGCATCAACTTTCGGGATAATCTATGCACCGTATGCAGTACAGTGCGAGGGAGGCAGGAAACCATCGGTAAACAAATGTATTAAAATTCTTATTAACATGAATAATGAGTCGAGGAGTTAGACCAGCTGCATGGAAGGACCCAAGGCAGGTATTTAAACGGCCTGCAAATTTACAACCATGCCACTCTATGTCCTAACCAGACAGGAAACCAGGTAAGAGGCGCCCTCCTCTGGCCCTCCTGGACGACTCCTAACTACAGCTGTCTCATCCCAAGGCCCCAGAGCACCCACGGACACTAAAATGTCACCCTGGTGTAGCTCTCTCTCCTGAGACCCTCTTCTTTGCAAATACCATCCTGGTTTTGATTCCTTAGTCAACAAACACTCCAGAGCATCTACTCTGTACCCAAGACCAAGTACCTTGGAGAACATAAATGCTTCTAAGGCAACCTCCCTGCCCTCGAGGGGCTTCCAGTCTAGAGGGACACCCCACACACACACAAAGTGACCACGGGTGCTCCCCAGCAATAAAGTGCCTCAGGAGGCGGAGGATGGGGAGGGCAGGGCAGTCAGAGAAGGCTTCCTGGAGGAGGGGATGCCTGAGCTCAGCCTTAGGGAAAGAATTCAGGCAGGCGGTGTGAAGGCAGGCAGCACGGGGAGGAGGAAGGGAGGCGACAGGAACAGAAGCAGACGCATGTGCCGGGGGGAGGGCCCAGCCTGCAGCAGAGGGTTTGGGTGGGACGCCTGTGGGGCACACTGGGTCCTGACGGTGAGCCACGGGCGCGTGCAGACAGGGGGCACGGGGGCAAACTCGGGAAGGGCTTCCTGCCTTCCGATTTCCCTACCACGTGCACATCAGGGCCGCAGGCTGCCACGGCCAGAGAAGACACAGGGCGGACAGCAGAGAGCCCTGCCGATCCGAGAAGCTACCGTCGGGGGAGCCGGGTGCGAGCGGCACACGCCACGCCGCGAAGGGCAGCCAGGATCCACCCCGGCGGCGTCCGGGCGGTGACCCTACAGAGTTGACGGCGACGACGGCGCGGGAGCGAACCGAAGGACATACCTAACTGTGCTTTGCAGCTCTCGATGGTCTTGTCGAGGTTTAGCTGGAACCGGCTGCGGATCTGGCGCTTGGGAGAGAGGAGCGGGACGGGGGCCGCCTGCTGCTGGACCGACTCGCTTAGCTCCTTCAGGTCCATCTCGGCCTTGCTCCGATCTAGAAGACAGGGGGGCGCCCTCATCAGACACGCGCTGGGCAGAGGGATGGGCAACACGCCTCACGGAGCGTCCTTCTCGCAGACGCATGTTAGAGAACACGGCAGGGAGACAGCGTCTGCTCAACGGTGGGCCGGTCACAGCCCGAGGACACGCTGGGCAGGTGTACCCAGTCTACTGCACGGTCGCCTGGGTGCCTTGCAATATTTAAAACGCATGGGGCGCCTGGGTGGCTCAGTCGGTTAAGCATCCGACTTCATGATCTCACAGTTCGTGGGTTAGAGCCCCGCTTTGGGCTCTGTGCTGGCAGCTCAGAGCCTGGAGCCTGTTTCAGATTCTGTGTCTCCCTCTCTCTCTGCCCCTCCCCTGCTCATGCTTGCTCTCTCTCACTCGCTCTCTCCCTCTCAGAAATAAATTAAAAAACATTAAAAAAAATATTTAAAAAAGATCTACAAACTCATCAGAATAATCATGGGTGCATGTGACTGTGTCTACAGTAAACGCAATCTCTTACCTTAAGCCTTAAAAGACTGAACTCTGAAATACTCATAATTAAGAGGAACGAAGAGATGATAAACCACATTATTTTACAGTTCAGGTTTGTACAGTCAGTGAGCTGCGGTAACGTGTACCCTAACAAGAAACCACCCAAAGCCGGGGTCGGGGGGTGGGTCCTAGGATCAGGTCCCTGGGAGCAAACCTTCAGGAGTTTAGCCAAATCGAATCATCGTTCTCGAATTTTCAACCGCATTTAGACTTTCTTCTCCCCCACAGGGAGGAGAGCTTCTCTTTCTCATTCAGCTGATAGTCGCTTATCAGGACTTCTTCCACCCCTGCCCTTCTATATCGGGAATATCTTTAGAATCCACCTTTGCTGCCAACATTTTTAACTTTCCGGCTGATACGAAGACAGCTTGGGCTATAAATGGAAACCAGGGAGAAAAAACACCAACGCGAGAGAAAGAGACACGATCTTACATTTTTGGAGGGAGCATAAATCAGAACCATCTCTGTTAGAGGGCAATTTGGCGGTATCTCTCCAAATGTCAATGGCACACGGCCTCTGACCCAAGATTCTGCTTCTAGGAATTCATCCTACGGCTACACCCCCACTAGGGCAAAGTGTCTTCGTTACAGCTGTTTGCAACAGCAAAACCACCGAGAGTCGATAAATAAGGAGCCTGGGTGAATAAATTAACAGCTCACCTTGAAATGAATAAAATTCAACTGCTAAAATAAAACAAGAGATCTTTATGTGCCGATATGAAAAAGCCAACCTGTTTCACAACGAAGAAGGTGACAATCAGTAAAACATATCAGCATTGGTGTGGGGAGAAAAGACGGAAAGGGAACAGAGATACGAATATATGTGTTCTTGGGGGTTCTCAGCATTGGCACTACTGATATCTGGGGCAGGATACGTCTTTGTTGTCAGGGGTATGGAGGTGGAGGGCTGGGGCATCCTGCACATTGTACGAGGTTTAGCACACCCCTGGCTTCCATCTGCCAGATGCCAGTAACCCCCACATCCAAGATGGGGCAATAAAAATGTCCCTAGGGGTGCCTGGCTGCCTCAAATGATGGACTGTGGGACTCTTGATCTCAGTCAGGGCTCCCGTGGGTTCAAGCCCCACGTTGGGCATAGAGATTAAAAATAAAATCTTTTTAAAAACATGTCTCCAGGGGCACCTGGGTGGTTCAGCTGGTTAAGTGTCCGACTCTTGATTTCACCTCAGATTATGATCTTATGGTTTGGAAGTTCGAGCCCCGCATCCAGCTCTGTGCTGACACTGTGGAGCCTGCTTAGGATTCTCTCTCCCTCTCTCTCTGCCCCTCCCCAGTTCACACACATACTCTTTCTCTCAAAATAGTAAAACTTAAAAGAAAAATGTCTCCATACATTGCCAATATCCCCCTGAGGGACAAAAATCACCCAGGTTGAAAATCCCTGATATATAAGGTAGTAACTTTCTAAGAAGACTAACAAGAGGTAACTGTGGCCGCGGTCAGAAGGGGCAGAAAGGTGATCAGAAGTTACAGACAGGTTGGCTTTTCATTAAACATCCTTCTGTCCTTTGAAATTTCTCTTACCAGGTGCCTTCACTGCTTGTAACAAGAAAATTAACTTTGTACAAGAAAAATATAACCTCATCTCTTTTCCATTAAAAAGAAGTAGATTTCCTTGCTTCAAAAACTGGACTTCCCGGAGCCACAAAATGGTGGCTCCTTCACAGGAACAATATCATCCAGACCAGAGACCCTGGCAAAAGTTCTCTCATTCACCAAAAGGCAAGCAGAGAAACTTCCTCACCCCCTCCACTGTTTAAAAAAGAGAAAGAATCAAGAAAACATGTGGGAAACCTCAGCCCCCAGCTCTCTGTCCATGCTTTCAAAGGACGCCTGACTTCAAGCTATCACTCGATATGGTGAAAGAAAGGAGGCCTCCTTCAGCAACAGCGGAGGAGTAAGCAAGCAGACACGCTCGGGGTCTGACAAGTTCCCACTGCTCTGTCAGCATCCAGGCACGTCTGTGTCACACACAGGAGGGCTCAACTGCTGTGTCTGTTCAGTCCAGAGCAAACACCCTGTGAGACAAGAGAAGGGATTCCCAGAGAAGCAGACAGGAGTCTAGAAGAAGAGGATCAGGCCTTCCTTCCTCCTCTCGTGCTTATTTATCACTGATTTCCCACACGGCCACAGAAAGGGGCCGTAACAATCCACCAGGCTTCAGCTCCTTGCATTAGAGCAGAGGGCCCGAGATGGCAAACGAGGGGCCTGGGCATCAGCAAGTAGGCGAGAAGTCTCTGCGGAAGCCTTCCCCTCTGTCATGCACCACAATTAATTAGGAGAATCATTAAGTTTCCAACGGATGACCCATGGCTGGTTTTTGTACTCTGGGGTGGATTTATGTGTTCTGACTAAACAGAGTTTTTATTTTCAATGCGACTGACCGTCAACATTCAAAACAAGAGTTCATATACAAATCTGGATTTCTGTTTTGCTTGAAAATTCAGAGTCTGGCAACACAGGTTCAACCTCGGGGAGCTACGTCCTTCAGAAAGGCACTTTGTCCTCCATGGAACTGCCCATCTGGAATCTTCACCTTACCCCCTCACCCCTACGGCCGGGTCAACAGAATGAGAAGTGCAGTGTCAAGGGCCCTCCAACATCAAAACGCAGCCCCATCTTGCAGCACGGCAGCTCACTATTTTGGCTGAGAACACAAACTACAAGGCAGACAGGCCTGAGCCCACAGGTCAGACATGACCATGAACCATATTTGATGCTGGGTAGGGGACATGGCTTCTCTGTGCCCCAGTTTCCACTTCTTGGAGATGGGGCTATTACGACCTTGAAGGTTGTTGTAGTTTTTAATTAGTTTTTAGATTTCAGAGAGTGAAACTTGGGGAGGGTCGGGGGGGGATACGGTTCTTTCTGAGTGTTTCAACTCTTGCAGATAGGTGTAACCACCATCAGAATGCAAAGCAATGTCATCTGGCCGAGAATCCCTTGGTGATTTGGAATCCAGCCCTTGTCCCCCACCCCCAACCACACTCACTCATCTGTTTTCCATGTCGCTAATTTTGTTTTGTTTTGTTTAATGGAATGCCATTTGGTCAGATATCATAATGTCATCATCACCCCCAGCACGCTCATTTCTGTCTGCTCAGAGTAGTTCCACGGATGCCAGACACAAAAAGCTACACATAAAGCACCTGCTCTTCCCGTGGGCCAGCTCTGACGATTATTTAGAATTTCCCTCCACCGTCTGATTTTTCTATCCGTCTGTGACATGCTTCACTGGTCCCTCTCCGATCCTCATCTCATTAGGTAATTGAACCCCCAGCCCATAAAACACCCACATCCCCAATGCCTTTGTTCCCACTGACCAAACTAGTGTGCGTCCCAGCACGGAAGGAGATGGGGGTGGGGGCGCTTCTGAATGAGAGTGCCTCTCGGGCTCCACCACGCCCCCCTGCCAGAACACAGGACGCAAGAAATCTTTCACCAGCGCCATGGGCAAGCCAAGCGGGAAGACCCACAGCGTCATGAGGATGCTCAAGACCGCCTGGTTTAGGGAAGGAGCTATTCTGGCCACACGTGACTGTCAGAGAGGACACCGTGAGAACGCCCCAGCACAGTGATCCTTTTCGGGGTGTGGAGGTGGAAGGAGGGCGTGAGAGAAAGGAAACCACACCGCTGCGATCCGTGAACATTCCAAGGTGGCAAATGGGTCCCTTTCGTTCAAGTGAGGAGTTCCCAACAGACACGCTGAGCCGGAGCCCGAAAGATACAACCCTGACTGCGGAAGGACACGCAGCTACACAAACAGGCGGGGCGGGCCGGGCTTCGATCTCCCTGCAGGCACGGGCTTGCTCCAGCCCTGGGCACCTGGAGCCTCGTCTCCAGACCTTGGTTTCCCCGTCTGAAATGGTGCTTCAGGACAAGATGAACCCAGAGGGCACAGGCTACCACGAGGGGCTAGGGTTCATGTGCAAGCATCACTCTGCACAGGCGGCCGCCCCTCCCTTCCTAAAACCCTGTATCCTCAAGCTCATCCCCAGTTGTGACAACCAAAAATGTCTCCAGACATTGCCCAGTGTCCCCTGGAGGGGAGTGAGGGAACCATCCTGGGCAAGAACAGCTGACACAGGAACCCAGTGAGGTCCTTCTAAAGTGCTCAGTTCACATCCCTCCTCTACTCACATGGCTCCACGCCCGGGTCCAGGGATCCACAGGGTCCTAGTGATCCCGGATCTCATCTCCTCACCGTCTCCACCCACTGGGACAGGCCACCGGGCCTCCCTGCCATTCCTCCCACAGGCTGGAGTTCATCCCTTACCCTGAGGCCCTAATTTCTTGTACCTCCTCCCAATATGGGCAAAGCTGGTTTTTCTTGTCATGCAAATCTAGGTGTAAATACAACCCCTCCTGAGTATCTCCAGGTCTCTTTCAGTATCTGAATCTGGCTCTTGGTTTACACTCAAGTGATAATGTCACGATTCTGCACTGAACTCACAGAGCCTGCTTGGGATTCTCATCTCCCTCTCTTTCCGCCTCTCCCCTGCTCACGCTGTCTCAAAAATAAACATTTTTAAATAAATAATTGCATGCATACATACATACATACATACCACCACTCAGAGGCCTTCCCTAACCACTGCCTCTTCAAAACCACGACCATCTTATGCATCTCCCTCCTCACCATTAACACACTTTACCTTCTCTCCCGGCATGAACGGTCTTGTTTATTTACCTTGTTTCTCACTTTCTAGAACCAAGCTCTGTATAAGAGCAGGACCCTGCTCACTACTCGGCCCCATGTCTAAAACAGCACACAGCCATGTAATAGATGCTCAATAAAAATTAAGGATCCTGATGGAATGAATCAATGAAATAACTTCATGGTTGAGTATTTAGCATTTCTGGTGCCAATGTTTGCTAAAGACTTTGACCTAAGGCAGTGCTTTTAACACAACTAACTGAACTTGGGGGCGAGGGGGGGTGGGGGGGTCAAAGATAAAGACCAGCATTTTTTTTTAATTAGAAGAGGAAAATTAAGGAAACAATATATCAGCATACATCGCACAGGGGAAAGGTAAATACTGGTTCATGAAGCTTGACTTGCAGCAAGTGTATGAGTACGTGTCTGTAAAACATTAAATGTATATATACACACACACCTACATAAGAACTGGGTTACTGTGGTCAAAAGCAAGAAAAGGTTGTAAGCCCTGGCCTAAGGTGTCAAGATAAAACTTCGGGATGCCTGGGTGGCTCAGTCGGTTAAGTGTCTGACTCCAGCTCGGGTCATGAGCTCCTGATCCATGAGTTCGAGCCCCACGTCGGGCTCTGTGTTGACAGCTCGGAGCCTGGGGCCTGCTTCAGGTTCTGTGTCTCCCCCCACCCCTGCCCCTCCCCCACTCATGTTCTGTCTCTATCAAAAATAAATGTTAAATATAATGTTTAAATGTTTAATTTCTGCCTTTAAAAAAAAAAAGATAAAACAATGTCATGTGTCAACAAGTCCCAGGAAATCCCTCATTTGCTCCTTTTTACTGATCTCCCTTCATCTCTGTCCACTATACCTTTTTTATAGTTTGCACAGAGAGACGTTTTGTTCAGAGCTCAAGAACCACACCCAAAAGAGGACATCACAACTTGTGAAAATATTCACAGATGCCGCAGAAAGAGGCTTCCAAAACTCCCCACTGACCCAGGTTAAGATTCAGGATGCTTCCAGTGGTAGATGTTTTGTCCGTTTTCGTCGTGATGGGCGTTGACGCTTGAGGAGAGAAGGTTTTCGGGCTGCCGGATAAACTCCCTGCTTGTCCCGTCTTGGCAGAGGCTGGCGAAGCTGAAAGAGTATGTTCATTGTTAAAACACAGACTTAAAGAGAAGTAAACAAATAAAACTTGTGCATAAGGGAAGAGGGGGGAAAAGTGGATTTGATTTCAATGAGGTCCCCAGAGTACCCCAGATGGGGCGCGGCGGGAAGGGCTGGCCGTTTTTAAGTCAAGCACAGGCTTCAACGCAATGTTAAGCTGTGGAGGAAGAAGGCCTCCGCAGTCATTCTATTATACACAAAGCTCTAAGACAAATCGGCTAAGCTGCCACTGAAATTGGTTTGGCCCATTCACGGGTGTAAATCTCAAAATAAATAGCAATTAAAGCAGCCCCCACCATGGTCCAGATGCAGAGACCGGAGCCAGGCTTACAAATGGTATGCCATCCATTTATAGGAGATGCAGGAGCCAGCTTGCACATGCCTGCACCTGTTGTGGGCCCACTTGACCCCTCGGGAGATCTCGGGCACAGATCAAAGGTTCTGTGATGCTAAACAAAAGCCAAGCTCAGCGCCAGATGGAGTGAGGGCATCGCTGGCCAATAATCTCCCTCCTTACTGTGGTCCAAACTTTTATAGGAGGATAGAAACTCATCCTAAGCCCCTGTCTTTTAAAGCTACCTGAGAGGCGCCTGGGTGGCTCAGTCGGTTAAGCATCCAACTCCGGCTCAGGTTATGATCTCACGGTTCATGGGTTCAAGCACTGTGTCAGGCTCTGTGCTGACAGCTCAGAGCCTGGAACAGCTTTGGATTCTGGGTCTCCCTCTCTCTCTCTATCTCTCTCTCCCCTCTCAAAAAAAAAAGAATAAACATTAAAACAAATTTTTTTTAATGAATAAACATTCAAAGAAAAAATGTTAAGGCCTTAAAACTGCCTCCATACTGCTCCCTCGAGTTTCATCCACTGACGCGGGCAGGACAGAAACCAAACCATGGAACAACACACAGGTGTTCAGAGGGGCCATGCCCCGCTGCCTACACAGCCTGCCGGCACGGGGACTGTCCTGCTACAGAGCTTCAAGAAACTACACAATGGCCAGCCTTCCCCCACGCACGAGAAATGTGGACTTTGCAGCAATCTGGTCCCTAAGAGAAAGCTGTTGATGGCAAAGGCGTTACGAATCAAGACGTCCCAGGGACTTGAAAAAGTGCTCCCGTTGGCAGATGCTTGCCTCAGTTTCTCCACCCGCCAAATGGGGAGGAGAGTCAAAAGTGAGGACCCAACAATGGGTAAACCTCGTATACCCACTCAGCCAGTCAGTACGCAGGGCTGCGTCGGCCCCAAGTGCAAGATCCAGCCAGAAGCATTAGAGAAGGAAAGACTAGACGTGGGAGGGTGGAGGCGGGCATGCAGTGGGAGCCAGACCCCAGCTCTGTCATCCAGCTTGGCAGCTGATGAGCTGGGTGCCCTAGGGCACGGTCCCTGAGCTCTGGGACTCCCGTTTCCTGGTGGAAAAGGACTGTGAAAAGTACCCACCGCATCAAGTAGTAAAGATCTAGTAAGTTAATCATCTCTACAGTGCCTGGCATCACAGAAGTACTGTATTTGCTGTTAGTGTAATTGCTGTTAATACAAGTATATTATGTTTGCTATTAGTATACTTGCTATTAGTACTATAGTTACTATTATTTCCTATTACTATAATGTAATTTTATATTTCCCCATTAACCTCAAGGGCTTTGGTTTCAACCATCTAAACGAGTAGCTTTCAGCCAGGAGTGATATTTTTTTTTTAATTAAACACACTTCACACCCAGTGTAGAGCCCAACATGGGGATTGAATTCACAACCTGAGATCAAGACCTGAGCTGTGATCAAGCGTCAGACTCAGACGCTTAACCGACTGAGCCACCCAGGCGCCTCGCAGCCAGGCGTGACTTTGTCATCCATGCAGGACACACTGGGCAATGTCTGCAGACATTTTTGGCTGCGTCACAACTAGCACAGGTGACGGTGCTACTAACACCTAACAGGTGTCGAGCAGGGGTGCTGCTCGGCCCCCCAAAACAAAGAATCTTTGGTTCCAACAGTCAGTAGTGCTGCTGAGGTGGATGAACCCCCGAAGGGAGGAAGCAGGCGTATCTGTGGGAGTCCCTGGCTTCACATGCCGATGAGGAGGGGAGGCGGCCATGAGGTCAGCTAATCCATGTCAAGGGGTCCTCGGCAGATGCGTGATCACACTCCACTCTGTTTTGAGGATCAAGGTGTGTTTGTGTTTTTTTTATACTAATTAACGTAGTTTTGCTGTAAGGATGAGCCAATGCCTGGCCCGGGGCCTGGCACACAGTGTTCTCTCCAATGAGAACCAGTTTACCGTCACGGCCACTGTCACTGAAACGAGGCATCCCACACCGAGCAGAATGAGAGTCCTTGGTATCGTCAAAGATAAAGGCATTTCAAAAGATTTAAGTATTAACAATAAAATCTTTCGTATTAGGGTTTTGTTATTCGTTTATTCCTACTCTATCTGCTTCCTTCCAAAAGAGGTTTGCAGTGGCTGAAAACATCAGTGTCATATATTCTTGGCAAGGACTAAAGACCAGGGCTCCTCTGACTCTACTCCCTCACACGGAACTGGCCAAGGGGTATAACAGGAAGGGCCTTATACTAGCCAAGGTACAGCGTGGACGCAGGAACTTAGACAAGAAAGCCGAACCCGAAAGGGTAGGCGGAAATAGAAACACACACAAAGACGCAGGTGCTGTCATACGCGGAACTCAACCGCGTGAGTCCGCATTTCCCTGCTTCGTGACAGCGCATGATAAAAAAGGAAGGAAGGAAGGGCGCCTGGGTGGCTCAATCAGTTAAGTGTCCAACTCTTGATTCTGGCTCAGGTGGTGATCTCAAGGGTCATGAGTTCAAGCTTCACAGCAGGCTGCAGGGAAACTTAGCAAGAACAAAGGCAAAGTCGTTATTTTTCCAATTCTGTACATAAAATATAAATGGGAAAAACAAGTCTTTAATTTCACAAACACATTAAGTTTCCTCTGTTAATAAGACTTCAGTATTGAAGGTTTAAGAACTATTCTCTAGGGGCGCCTGGGTGGCTTAGTCGGTTAAGCGTCCGACTTTCGCTTAGGTCATGATCTCGCGGTTCGTGGGTTCGAGCCCCGCGTCGGGCTCTGTGCTGACTGCCAGCTCAGAGCCTGGAGCCTGTTTCAGTCTGTGACTCCCTCTCTCTCTGACCCTCCCCTGCTCACACTGTCTCTCTCTCTCTCCTAGAAATAAATAAAAAAAAAAAAACATTAAAAGAACTATTTTCTAAATATTTTAATTTGGGGGCATCTGGGTGGCTCAGTCGGTTAAGCGTTCGACTTCGGCTCAGGTTATGATCTCACAGTTCATGGGTTCAAGCCCTGCATCGGGCTCTGTGCTGACAGCTCAGAGCCTGGAGCCTGTTTCAGATTCTGTGTCTCCCTCTCTCTCTGACCCTCCCCTGCTCACACTGTCTGTGTGCGTGTCTCTCTCTCTCTCTCAGAAATAAAAAAGTTTTAAAAAATAATTTCTTTAATAAATAAATTTTTAATTTGAACAGAGCGCCACGACAAGGCAAGAATAAAGCTGTCTGGAGGAAACTGGCTCTCGCAGAGACAGGTCAGGCTCACTTTCTGCCTGGCCAGCAAAGCCCAGGGATCCCCTCAAAGACTCCTGGGACTCAAATGCTTCCTGGAGTCAGAGAAGGGACAGCACTGGGGTCACCTAGCAACCCTAGGCCCCACCATGCAGAACTCTCCTTAGGGAAAACGACGGCCCCTGCCCACCCGAGTGCCACATGTTGCCCTCCCCCCCCAAAGCTGCGAAACTGTGTGTACCTGCCTTGACCTCCCCACATCAGTTAACACTACGACCATCAACCTAGATGCTCACGGCCAAACACGTCTACACTGCCCAAATTCCTCCCTTGTTCTCCTGCCCCAATTTACCCCGCTCCGCTGCAAGGCCTCTGCACACCACTTCCGAAATATATCCCCCAGCTCCCCGCTGGCCTCCATCCCCACTGCTACCAGACTAACACACACAATCTAAAAGTGGCTCTGGGGGTAAGGGGGGGAGGGTGAAAAAATCTCTCTTTTTATGTATAAAACACAGACACATGCAGAACATAAAAAGACACAAAGTACTTTCGAATTTCATGAAAATTCATTCCCGGGTATAAACCTGAAAGAACTGAAAAGCGGTGCTCAAACCTCACTGCACTGATGTTCACAGCAGTGCTATTCACCATGGTTCAAAGGTGGAAACAATCTGACTGTCCATCGACGGACAAACTCTGGTGTCCTCGGTGGAATGTTTACTGAGCCATGAAAAGGAGGGAAGTTCACATGCTGCATCAGAGGCCAAAAACATACGCTCAGTGAAAGGAGCGGACAAAAAGCCCCATTTTGTATGATTTGGCTTAAATGCAATATCCAGAATAGGCAAATCCATACAGGCAGTATGTGGACGGGTGGGCCTAGGGGTGGGGGGCCGGGGAGTGGGGAAGCTCCTGCTTACCTAACGGGACTTGGTTTTGGTGTGATGGAGAAGTTCTGGAACTAGAGAAGGGTGGTGGTTGCAGAACACCGTGAACATACTAAATGCCATTGAGTGTTCACTTGCAAATGGTTAATTTTATGTCATGCGAATTTCATCTCCATGTAGGAAAGAATTCACAGGGGGCGCCTGGGTGGCTTAGTCGGTTAAGCGTCCGACTTTCGCTTAGGTCATGATCTCGCGGTTCGTGGGTTCGAGCCCCGCGTTGGGCTCTGTGCTGACTGCCAGCTCAGAGCCTGGAGCCTGTTTCAGAGTCTGTATCTCCCTCTCTCTCTGACCCTCCCCTGCTCACGCTGTCTCTCTCTCTCCTAGAAATAAATAGAAATATNGGGGGGGGGGGGGGGGGGGGGGGGGGGGGGGGGGGGGGGGGGGGGGGGGGGGGGGGGGGGGGGGGGGGGGGGGGGGGGGGGGGGGGGGGGGGTCTAAAATGGCTCCTTATGGGATGAAAATGAAAAACACGGTTGACAAATACTGCCCC